CCCTCTTGCCGTTTGCTGTGGAAACCAGGCTGCCTCTGTTGTGACGAGCTGTGTGCCCAGGTGAGGTTCACTTGTCTGTCCCACGACTCTTTTTCCCAGTTCTGAGGATGGACCCAGAGCCTCCTGCGTGCTGGGCAAGGGTTCTACCCCGAGCTACATCCCCGGCCCCTGCCCTGGGCTCAATTTTTGGTTTGTTTTTGAGACGGGGCCACACTATGTTGCCCAGGCTGGCCTGCAACCTGTGACCCTCCTGTCCCCCCTCAGGAGCTGTGCAAATTTTAGTTTTATTTTTGGTGCCAGGGATTGAACCCACGGGCACTGAACCACTGGGCCACATCCTCAGCCCTTCTTGAGGTTTTCTTTAGGGACAGGGTCTCCCTGAGTTGCTCATGGCCTCACTGAACTGTTGAGGCTGGCTTTGAACTTGTGACCTTCCTGCCTCGGCCTCCTGAGCCGCTGGGATTACAGATATGGGCCTCCGCTCCCAATTAGGGCAGCGGTTCTTGGCTGGGGAGGATGTTCACCTCCGGGACATTTGGCCAAGGTGAGGACAGACATCTTTGTCACAGCTGGGGTGGGTGGGGGAGACCAGTGGCATGTAGCAGGCAGAGCCGGGGGAACTTGTCAACGTGGACCGGGGTGCAGGTCAGCCCTGCTACAAAGAGTGCTTTGACCCCCAAATATCAATGGTGTCACCTGCCCTAGAATTGTCCCTGCTTTTTTTCAGTGACTTATCGAAAAGACTGGCATAGTCCTGGGTGTCCCCACCCTTCTGGGTTGTCCGTTGCTTCCGGATATCATTTAACGGATTCCCCTACCCCCTCCATTTCCGGTAAACTGGGTGTCAGAGTGACAGAGGAGCAGTGGGGTCTAACCTCTGGACAGATGTGTCGTAAGGGAAGCTGGGCGCTTCCTCTGGATCTCAGCAGGAGGCCCACCAGGCTGGCCGGTCCTCCTAGTGTGACGCGGAGACTCGCCTCACGGAAGGCTGCTGAGGACTGTCTGGCTTCTTTGGCAAATCTGCGCCCTGTGCCCAGCTGTCCTGCAGGCCACCCTCCGGTGCCTGAGCATAGTTCTTCCTCATCGTCCCCAGCACCTTACCTAATATCCGATGGCTCACCGACGACCATTGCTAAAATCCATGATCTCACTGATTTTGCAACCATGTTGATTCTCTGATTCTCTCTTTCCTTGCACATTCTTTTTTTTTAAAGCGGGCACTCTCCTTAGACTTTCTGGTCTCTTCGGACTTTTTTTTCCGAGTGTGTTTGTTTATGGTGCTGGGGATTGAACCTAGAGACACTTTAGCACGGAGCCACATCCTCAGTCCTTTGTATTTTTTATTGTGAGACAGAGCCTCACTAAGTTGCTTAGGGCCTCAGGCAGTTGCTGAGGCTGGCCTCGAACTTGCAAACCTCCTGCCTCAGCCTCCCAAGTTGGTGGGATTACCACCATGCCCAGTGCAAGTGCATTTTTAAACTTGTTATTTATTTAGTTATTGATTTCAAGGCGATCTGGCTTATGTGGTTGGGGCTGGTTTTCAACTTGTGAACTTAAATGATCCTCCTGCCTCAACCTCATGAGCAAGCTGGGATGACAGGTGCCTGTCACCACACCTGTTGTTTTGTTTTAACCCAGAGGTGCTTTACCTGAGTTCCATCCCCAGCTTTTTTTTTTTTTTTTTTTTTTAATTTTGAGACAGGATCTTTTAAGTTGCTTGGACCTGGCTAAGTTGCAGAGGCTGGCTTTGAACTTGTGATCCTCCTGCCTCAGCCTCCCAGGTCGCTGTGATTACAGGCGTGGACCAAGGTGTCCATGCATGTAGGAGTTTTGACTCTGGAATGGAGGTACAACATGCACACAGATCAAGGATTCAGAATTCAGTGATTTTAAAACCTCTGTACTTAGGCCACCATCAGATAGAAACAAAGATTGTTTGTAGCTCCCACCTAGGATTCCCTACCATGGGACTTATCAGGAATCTTTTTTCCTCCCTGTTCCCCAGGGCCTTACTAGGAAAGCGCTCTATCACTGAGCCACATCCCCAGCCCTTTTAATTTTTTACTTTGAGATGGGATCTTGCTAAGTTGCCCAGGCCCCGCAGCAGCTGGGATCATAGGCATGGGCCACTCTGGCAGGAAGAAATCTTTTTGTTGGAGGAAATGCTCTTGGGGCCTGGCTGTGCCCATCTTGGGGTTCGGGGACTTCTGCAGGTGGGATGGGATGTAAAAACAGGGCTTCTAAGTTCCCTCCCTGACAGCAAAGCCCCGTGGCTGGTCCAGGGACCCTGAACCCTCTCACAGAAGCAGCTGCGGGGGCTGAGGGAATCCTTTTGCCTCCTGGGGTTACTCCTGGGCGCCTCCTTCCTGGAAGAGTTGCCAATTCTTGGGGGAACTGTCGGGGCGAAGGCTCAGCTGGCATTTCCAGGCAGACTGGGGCTGCTGCTTTTCCCCTCCTATTTGGGGTCACACCCAGGGCACAGGAAAGTCCCTAGAAGGGAGACAGGCTGCCTGGGCGCTGGGCCTCCAGCGGAAGGATCCTGGGGAGAGCTCCCCGCCTCCCCAACCTCTATTCGCTCACCTGTCAAGTGGGGGGAAGGCTGCATTTTGCTGGGCTGCCGTAGGCCACCCTTAACTCTCACTGCCAGAGGCTTTAGCCAGACCTTCCCACCCAGAGCCTTGCCTCGGCAGCTCCATCCAGCTGGTCTCGTGGGTTTGCTCTTCCTGACCACTCAGGCTAACTCTGGAGCACTGCTCAGAGGTCATCGGCTGTGACATCTTTTTTTTTCTCTCCACCTTCTTATGTTGCTCTTGAAGCCTGTGTGGACCTGTCTTATTAATTAATCTCATTGTTTATTGTGTCTCTCTTATTAGAATGCAAAGCAACAGACTTCTCTGTTTTCTTCACTTTTACAACCCAGGGCCTTGCACAGAGCACGTATAATGTTGGTTGACCTAGCAAACAGACACTCCGAGAGGTGGAGCCACTTTCTCAATGTCACACAGCAGAGCTGGACTTAAAATCTCCAAGCTCTTAGCATTTTCCTCCCTCCTCTACCTTCAGGGGGATGAGGGTATAAAATTCAAGGAGGTGCCAAAAAACTGAGTCATCAAGATAATCCATATTAAGAGAACAAAAATATATGCAAAACTAAAAATTATGATGATCAAAATAGATCGAAAATGATCTGGCTTGGGAGTGCAGTGTAGTTTAGTGGTAGAACAGTAGTGTGTGAGGTCTTGGGTTCAATTTCCAACACCCCAAAATAAGAATTAAAACATTATAAAAAATTTTTTATTGTATATTTGTAATCACAACATGATGCTATAAGATACACTAATCAATCCACCTACTCAGGAAGTTGAGGAAGGGGGATTGCAAGTTCGAGGCTGGCCTGGGTAACTTAGTGAGACCCTGTCTCAAAATAAAATACAAAGGGGGTGTAATTAACAAAGAGTGTTGTAGTTAGACGGTAGAGCAATCCTGGGCTGCTACAAAAACAAAACAAAAACAGACACCTCCCCAGCAAGAAAACCAAGCCAAAAAAAACTGCATGAGATTCATAGATCGTATACTAAAATGGTTACTATACAGGAACAAATTAACATATTCATTATATCATAAATTAACATATTCATTACTCATTTTTCACTCCTGTGGTAAGAGCAGCTATAATCTACTCATTTAGAAAAATCGTGAAAAACACACACACACACACACACACACAGAGACTCACACAGACAGGGCTGGGGGTAGATAACTGAGTGGTGGAGAGCCTGCCTAGGCGAGTCAGGATGTGGGTTAAATCCCCAGCAACCAGGTTAAAAAAAAAAAAAAAAAAAAAAGTCAAAGACAAGATCTGATCCTGTGCTTGCAAGACTCACCTCTGGCCTACTCCCAGGGCCGAGGGGTCCTGCCTTTCTTTAACATTTTGGTATTTGGCTCATCGTGGATTAATTTCCATTAATTTTGATATTTAAAACATACTGCATTAGAATATTATTTACCCTCCGACTAAGTTTTTGCAGCGGAGGCGCTCACCCTGGCCCGGGCTCTGCCTGTCTCAACTTCTCCTCCCGCCAGTCTCCTGGGGGAAAGCGAGGCACCGCGTCCAGGCGGTGCGGGGACACTGTGTGGAGCCCTTGCGGGCGGCGCGAGCTTCTCGGGGAGAGGCTGGGCGCTGACCTTTGCTTATCGCCCGCGGTAGGAACAGCTAATCAAGTCCCCCGCCTTCGGGAGACCTTTCCCGGGGCGGCCGCGCCGCCTGAGTGGCGGAGATAGCCGCGGTCGCCCCGCCAGCGGTGACCTTTCCCGGCCCGATGGGGCGGGGAGGCCGGAGAGGGCGCGGCGGTTGCTCCCAAGGGCCGACCCGGGCGGAGGAGTGGGTCACTCGGAGTCTGGGACCTGAGATCGAACCCCGCCTGTGCTGTGCACTTCCACGCCACCCTCTCAGGGCAAGGGACAGTGGGGAAGAGCGCCCGTGACGTCATCGAACCCCGAGCCCAGCCTCCGCCGCTGACGTCACAGACGGCAGGGTGCGTCACCGCATTCCTCTCGTGACATCAGTGCGAGAGGCTAGAAACTCGCCCACAGTGAAAGCGAGAAGTACGAAGGAAATCTTTCCTTTTTCGCCTTTTTGATTTGGGAAGTCATTTGAAGTTCGTAAGAGAGGACTACAACTCCCAACTGGCCTTGCGTGTTGCGCACGCGCACGTCTTCCAACCAGAGAGCGCGGCAAACCTTTGGGCTAGATCGACATCCCTTTAGTCGAACCAGAAGGCAAGTTTTATAGCCTCAACCCAATCCCGTCTTCACAGATCCCACCCCTTTATTCTTATCCCGCTGCTTCCTTGCGGGAGTGACGGGCTCCGCTGCCTTTAAGGGTTCAGTTTCCTTTGAGGGACATTCATACTGATAAATCAGAGCGCCGGGAAGTCAAGAGGGCGTTGAATAGCGTGGCTAGGGGCCAATAGCGTATCTTAAGGGCCTGGCGCCGTCCAATCACTTCTCCCGGCACCGCCAATCACTCTGGGCCCCGCCCCTACGCGTGACGTAAGTAGGGTGGGTAGCAACAGTTGCCCCGGTGAGGGAAACGGAGGCGCCATAGCCACGGTAGTCGTGGCGACCAAGCAACCCGGCAACGCGAGTCAACAACAACAACCGCCCGGTCGACCCCCACCCCCGCCCCCCCGGCGCGGCCTGGGGACCCTGGCACGTTCCGTCTCCCTCCCAACATCGCCTCTGAGACCTCCGAAAAGCCTTTCTGCGGACAGAAGTGGGGAGAAGCCGAGGTAACCGGGACAGCCCTGGGTGGCTGGCCGGGCCAGGGCAGGCGGTGGGGCCCGGGCAGCGGGTGTCGCTGTAATCATAGTCCAGGGGGAAGGGGCGGGCGGTCAAAATGGCGGCGGCGACTGTCAGGACCGTGGGGGAGGGGGCCGGGGCCCGGCTGGGGCGACACCACCCGCCCCCCAACCCCGCGGCCCGTCCCCCACGAGGGGCGGGCGCTCGCAGGCCCGCGGCGAGTGGAGGTCGAGCGGCCCGGGCGGGGGGCTTTTATATGTCGGGAGCTGCGAAGGGGCGGGCCTGGAGAAGTTGGGCCAATCGGAGCAAGAGAGGAACAAGGCGGGGCCAAGGTGGGTGGGCGGGGTCGCGCGGCCCCCCACCCTCGGGAACCGGGTGGGGCAGCTACCGCCCGGGCTGTCGCGCTCCCAGAAGCTGTGTGCAGCAGCCTGTGCTACGTCCCTTTAGAGCCCCGTGTACTTGTCCCCAGGATTCAGAACTTGGACAAGTGCCTGGCCCATCTGCGGTCTCAGTTTTACATCCTGTAAAATGGGGAGAATCGTCGCTCTCTCCCCTTTTCTACATCACAGGGACCCCCAGTTCCTTCCAGGAATTTCTTTACAGCTCATTCTTGAACCTTTTACCTCTGTCTGCTGTTTCCGAATATGGCTTGACAGATTAACTGTTAGCTTGTCTTGATTTCAACACTGTCCTACACTCCTACACCTGCCTTTTTCCTCTCTGGCAGGAGTGGAGAGTGACACTTTCTCGGAGAAGCTGTGGGCTAGGAGTACACTTGGCTTCAATCTGGAGGATTTGGTTTGCAGAAATCGAAGCCCGTGGCAGGGAAGAGTGATTGTGGGAGACAGCTTTAGAGGAAATGAAACTCGGTTGCTCTTCTCTGGGCTGCTGTCTTAGTTCTGGGTGGCCCCTGGTCTGGGGGGCTCCTTCCTGGAGATGGGACTTCTCCTGGTCTGTTCCCTTCTGAAATGGGAGTCTAATGGCGGCAGAGGAAGTTTCTTAGATTCCTTAAGCCACTTGGCCAGACACATGTTTTTGTGTCAAGTTTGTATCAACAGGGTCACATGTCATGAGGAGGTACCAGCCTCCAGAGCCACGTGGCTGGGAGCGGGTGCAGCGGTCAGAGGGAAGGGGAAGCAGTCCATGTTTTTCAGAGGAGAACCTTTGCAAGGGTTTTTGGGGCAAGAAGATCTGCCAACTTGGGAAAGATTTTTTCTTTAAGTAGCAGCCAGGCCCAGTCTATTTTGCTGATTCTCTGTCTTGCTTTTGAACTGGGCGTCGGTGTGCAAATTGCAGTTCTTTCCTTTTAAATCAGTCAGTACACTCCAAGGAAAAGCACTCCCCCAAGAACTCGAGATCCTGCTGGGGGGGTAGGGGTCTCACTTCTCCAGGGGCCTTATCTGGCTCAGACCCTTGGAGAGGAGAGGCCAGACTGCTTGAAAGTTAAGGCATTGTGTAGCCCTAAGTGTCCACCTCTGTTGCCATTAAAGAAGCTTAATTTCCTTAAGAAAGAGAGAAAGAGACAGGTGGAGATCGGTTGCTAAGAAAGGTTGTGAGCACCTTCTGGGAACCCTGCCTTTGCCCAGTGATGGTGCCGGGCATGTCTCAGCCTTGCAGCCTTCTCCATACCAGGGATTCTGTCTGGGAAAGACCTGAGCCTAGAGGGTCATTTGACGAGGGAAGGGACACTGGCTTGGTTTACTTGTCCCTGAGCCGGTCAGTTGTTTCCTAGCTGTGTGCTCTTGGTGACTCTACTTCGCGTCTCTGGGCCTCGGTTTCCCTCATCTGAGCTGGCCGCGATCTTTCGACCTCAGATCACTGGCTGTGATCCCATGATATGATACCGTTGAGCATGGACTAGGGAGTGATGGCCCAGGCTGAGCTCGCCTCGGCCTTCATTACGATGATTGTCACTTCCTGCCCAGCCCTCAGAATTAACCGTTGGTATTTATTTTTATCACTTTGAATTCGGGAGAGTGTAGTGGCTTTAAAGTGCGGCTGGCTCGCTGGGCTGTGTGCGGCAGCGACGAGGAGCCAGGAGCTGGAGACTTGGACTTGACTTCTAGTAGGAAAGTGTCATTCCCTTGCTGTTCGGTGGCCTTTTTCTGGCCTTGGAAGAGTAGCCAGAAGGGAACCTTATGCCTGGACCTGGACCGGGCTCAGACTCAGTCTCGGGCTTCCCGGGCTGGGTGACCGGGGCTGTGGGCAGCGTGGCCGGGGGGCCCTGGGCATGGAGGGGTGTCTGGGAGAGCTGCTCACTCTTTCCCCATCACATACTGTGCACTGTGGGCAGCGGTGGCCACACAGACCCTCCCAGGGCCAGCCTTCAGTGAGCAGCTGCACAGGGCGTGGTCTTGGTGGTGGAACCTCGGGTGCTCCCTGGGCTGAGGTGCCCGGGCGGGATCTCGCCCACCCCCAGGCACAGGCCTGCTGCGGGCAGGATGCAGGACCCGACTCACAGTCTCACTAGTCGGTGTTTTCAGCTGGCCTTCGACCCCCAGCACTGTTCCCAGCTGGGGCATCTGTACTCACTGGACAGTAAGAGTTGAGCCCCTGGACACTGGTGGTACAGCTCAGTGGTGGGGACTTCTGGCAGGTGTGAGGCCCTGGGTTCTGTCCTCACCACACACACACAGTCGGGTCCCAGTGTGCACCCAGCCGTGCTCCCGGAGCTGGGGAGGAGGATGGGCGAGGCAGACCAGGTCTCCACCCTTGGGGACCTTACCTTTCCAGTTGGGAAGGAAAGAGGAACTGTGAGTAAGGAAATAAATAATCAGGAAATACAGTGCCAGGAAGAAATGGAAATGGAGGCATGTGCTCAGAGTGCTTGGCAGAGTCAAGAGGCTGTTGAGAGCAGAGGAAGTGACGTATGAGCTGAGAACAGAACAATAAGAAGGAACCAGTGGGGGAGGGGAGTGTGGGAATGCTAGTCAGAAAGAAGAGGTGGTGCAAAGGCCCTGAGGCAGGAAGGAGTCCAGAATATTCCTGGACCAAGAGTCAGTGTGGCTGGAACAACAGGAGTGAAGAAAAACAGGGACAGGAGGGACCAGTCCTACAGGGCCCTGTAGACCATAGGAAGGACTCTGAATTTTATCTGTTTCCGATGACTTGGAGCTTTGGCAGCTTTTGAGCAGAAGCATGATGTAATAGGACCTGTGCTTTCAAGGGATCCTGTGCACTGTAGAGGCAAGAGCAAGGACAGGAATTTCAGGGTCCAGTCAGAAGATGACAGCGACTCTAGTGTGGACCGGTGTCAGGAGAAACACCCAGCCTTAGGATGGGAGATGACTGACAATGAACTAATTAGAGGGGACAAGAAGACGTGCGTCATTACATTTATCGTGCCATCCTCTGCGGATTCATTGTTGAAGCCGTTCTGTAGAGGTGACCTTGGTGCTTGCCACTTGGTTTCAGAGTCAGTATCTGTAATGGGGCTCGGCCCACCATGACCTGGTGCCTGGTTTCCTATGGCTCATGAGCTAAGATTGATGTTTACATTTAAAAATTTTTATTTATTACTTTTAAAAATTTTATTTATTTATTTATTTTGTGGTGCTGGGGATTCAGTTTTACATTTTTAAATGACTGGGAAAGATCAAAAGAAGAATATTTTGTGAAAAGAATCATATTTCATGACATGAAAATCATATGAAATTTAAATCTCAGAGCTAGAAATAAAGTTTTATTGGCACACAGCCTGCTCATTTGTTTCCTTACTGTTTACGGGTGCTTTCGCCCAGAGTGGCAGAGTTGAGTAGTTGGCAACAGATGCTGTCTGCCTACAGAAGTGAAAATATTCACTGTCTGGCCCTTTATGGAAGTTGGCCAACCTGTGATCTAAAGGAATTGTCCAGATACTCTCCAAAAATCAGCCATTAGTTTTGAAGCAAGGTGCAGCCACTAGTGCTTTTCTTGGCAGATTCATTGCCCGGGAACAGGTGGTTTAGCCGTTCTGGTGTTCTATGGCCAGGTGTCATAAAGAATGCTCACATGTACAGGGGGTGCCACTGCCATGGAGATGGGTATGACTCTGTAGGGAACACAGGCTCCCGCCCCATTGGTGCCTCCCCAGGGCTGAGGCCTGCATATCCTCAGGAGGAGGAAGGTCCCGTTGGTGTGGAGCTTTTAAAGCTCTTTCCTCTGGGAGTGTGCCAGCTCTCCTAGGACTGCGAAGCCTAGACCGGGGTAAGGGTGACTCCAGGACCACTTGCCCTGGAACCCTCTGGCCAGCTAACACCGACCCCAGCCATCTCAGGCTGGGCAGGGGGGCCCGGGAGTCTGCATCTTAACCAGCTCCCCAGAGGGTACGGGTGCATGTCGAAGCTGCATCACCCCCTGGGCCTCCTTCCAAGACCTCGAGGACTGTCTCCACCTCCTCCTACCTCTGTCCCCACCAGGCCTGGGCAGCGTCTGTCCTGACCTGCGCTCACTGGGGGGCGAACTGGTCTCAGTGGATCTTTACTGCGGCACAGGAATCAGGCATTCTCGTCATCCCCAGGTGACAGATGGACACACTGAGTTCCAGAAGAATGTTAGTGACACGTTGGGAGTTGAGTTCAGTTTGAGTTGAGACTGCTCCAGGGCTCACATCAGGGTGGGTGACACCAGGCAGAAGGGCCTCCTGGGCTACTGGGCAGATTTGGACCCCGCAGTGTGAGGAGTCCCAACAGGCGCGCCACTTAGCACTGGAGGGAGGAGTCGAGGGTCCTCTGCAGGTGGGCAAGTTTCCCTGCTCCGGGGCCCTGGGCGGGGTGTGGGGGGGTGTGCTGGCTGCCCTTTGCCCTGCTGGGCAGGAGAGCCCAAGGCAGTCCAGGGTTCTGCCACCGTGGCCTAGGGTCCTCTGCCCCCCACCATCCCAGCGGGCACACCCAGGGGCAGGCAGAGGCTCTGGCCGCTTTAGGGAGGGAGGGCTGGAGGGTTCCTGTCTTTCTGGAGCCTGATAAAGGGCCCTGGGCCGTTGAGCTGCCTGTAACCCCAGCTGTGTTATGGAGCTGTGTTATGGAGGCTGAGGCAAGAGGATTGCGAGTTCAAGGCCAACCTGTGTCCTAATTAAATGAAAAAGGAAAGTTAGAGCACATCCCCAGCAGCAGAGACCAGACAGGCCCTGGGCAGCAGAGCCAGTTCCCAAGCCTTTCCCTCCCTCCATCCCTCCCTCCCTCTCTCTCTCTCCCTCCCTCCCTCCCTCCCTCTCTCCCTCCCTCCCTGCCCTCCTGACAGAAGCCAGGGCCCAGCACGGCCAGGTAAGCCTGGACCACTGAGCTGCGTGCCCAGCCACCCCCGCCTCCCCCGGCACACCTGGCGTGCCAGACACTTGGCCAGCTGTTGCCCACACTACGGGGACTGGCCTTTGCAGTAAGGCCCACGGTGTCAGGCCCGCTGTCCTCCCATTTCACAGATGGGGCAGCGGGGCCTTTCCCCAGAGCCATGCAGCCAGGAGGGGGCCAACTTCCAGCTGCGCCTTCACCCGGTGCGGGGCTTGGTGCGGGGGCTTGGTTCTCCGGCCTCCTTGGACGCTTCCTAAGTCTGGCATGTGCAGAACTGCGGTCCCGGGACAGGGAGGGACAGGGATACAGGAAGAGCAAGGGCCGCCTGGCTGGCCCTGGTTCCTCTGCTCCTGCCGGTGCATGGCCCGGGGGTGGTGCTCCGGTGTCTGGGGAGGAGGAGGCGGCAGCGGTGGGTGGGGAGAGGCGCCCCACACCTGTGTGCTGAGCGGGGCTGGGAGGGAGAGCACCTTGGGGCTCAGAGGGGCCTGGTCACCCCTCGCTCCGTCCTCCCCTCCCAGGGCTGCCAGCCGGGCGTGCCCCCAGCCCGCGGCCTGGGCTCCAGGACAGTAAGCAGCGGCTCTTGTTTTACTTGTTCTTTCCCCTGGGACATCCCACCCTGGGTCACCCTGCAGCTGGAGGGCCACCTACTGATGCTGCATGGCACACAGGTGCTAGAGGCCACTCAGAAGAGCCATGTGATCCCAGGTCACCACGAGCCCCACGTGGAGTTTGCAGACTCCAGGCAGGGCCTCAGGGTACGGCTTCTCCTGTTCACCGTTCAGTTTGCTGTCCCTCAAGTGCTCAGAACTGAAGAGGGGGACCCAAACCATCCGGCTTTCCCTACTGAGGTGGGGCTGAGCAGGAGAGGGGCGGGCCTGCCCAGCACCTGAGAAGGGACCCTGACCTCGAGCAGCCAGAAGAGCGGCCTCTGCTGCCCAGCCAGCTTGCCCCGCCAAGGGCAGTGCGGCTGCTCTGCCCGCTCCTGGCCCAGCTGCCCCCAGCCTCAGAAGGGCACTTGCACCCAACGCGAGATCCATAACAGCCCCTGGGCACAGGACCCTAAGGCCTCTGTGGCCACGAGCAGCTCAAGGGGCTCATTTGGGACTCAAACACCTTCCCATGTCTGGCACCAAACTGGGAATGAGACTCAGCCGAGAATCCCAGTCCAGGTGGCGGGCACACAGGGTTGGCACCGGCAGCCCCAGAGGCAGCTTGCCCCTTGACTTACCTTTCCAGCCATATGCTGGCTAGTCAGTGCCCAGAATGCTCTGCTTCAAACTCAGCTCTGTCACCCCTGCTGTGTGGCCCAGGGCAAGTGCCTTCCCCTCTCTGAACCTCAGCAATTCATCTAGCAGATTGAACCTCAACCCAGTCATAGTGTTAAAAGTGAAACAACATAAGGGAAGCTCCCAGCAGCGTCCAGCTGGCAGGAGCCCCTAAAAGATGCCCAGACCAAGGGGAAGAAGAAAGGGGAAGGGGCGGCCACTGGACTTGCTGGGCCTCCCCAGTGAGAACTGAGCAAGAGCACAGGGCCACCAGATGGGTCTCTTCTCCGTGGCGTAGGGGAGCAGGACCTGAAGTGGACACGTGGGGTCCCCCAGGCACCAGGGGCTGGAGAGCAGGAGTCCTGGCCAGGGGAGTGGAGAAACAGACAGGGTCCAGCCTCTGTCTGTGCCCAGTCTGCCCGCAGTCATGGTCCGGTGTAGCTGGCCGCCAGCCTCAGGATTTAATTAAGTTAGTGACGAGCCCAGTGCATCTCTGGGGAGCCAGGAGCTGTCCCTGCTGTGGATTAATTCTTGTTTTTCCTTCTTTTTTCCCCCTCTCTCTTCCCCTCCTTCTTTCTTCCCAAGGAAGAGAAAAAAAAAAGCCTTATTTATTCTCATTTCCCCACTGTTGGCATGGCAACCCAGGCGTACGTTACGGAGCTACAGGCAGCCCCGCAAGCATCCCAGCCACCGCAGGCCCCGCCCCAGCCCCAGCCACCACCACCACCCCCAGCGGCGCCCCAGCCCCCCCAGACACCCACTGCCTCAGCCACCCCCCAGCCCCAGTATGTCACCGAGCTGCAAAGCCCCCAGCCCCAGGCGCAGCCACCGGGCAGCCAGAAGCAGTACGTGACGGAGCTCCCGGCTGCCCCCACGCCCTCACAGCAAGGTGGCGCGCCCACCCCGTCCCCCGCGTCCCAGCAGTACATCGTGGTCACCGTCTCTGGTAAGTCTGCCTGTGCACCTGAGCCAGGGCGCTCGGGAGTGACTCTGGGAGGGGCGCCTGGGCCCGAGCACCTAGCTCTGGGGTCAGGAGGCACTGGGGGCGGAACTGGCCTCGAACTCCTGGGGGAAGCCAGCCCCTGACCGCTCTGCCTGGGTCGCCTCATCTGTGAAGGGGACGTCGTGGCTTCTCATTCTCAGGGTGCTCTCGGTGGGGCTGGCCCAGAGCAGGTCCTTCCTTGGGGGAGACTGGCGGGAGCCTGGAGTGTCACCTGGCCCCCTGGAGGAGCAGGACCAGGGCTGAGCCAGGGTGTGGGTCTGGCCAGCTCCTGAGTGTGGCCACCTTGTGGCCTTGGAGGAGATGAGCGGGAACTTGGGCCATGGTGTCCATAGGGCTCGCTCCTCCCAGGGCCTCCCTGGCTGAGCCCAGCGGGGCGGAGGGGCCCCGGCCAGCAGGGAGCTCCAGCTGCTGGCGGGTTCGTCTCCAGCTCTTTCTGGCTTTTGCTTCCATTTTCTCTCACTTGCTCTGCGCTCAGCTTCGGGCTGTCATCTCCCACGAGCCCGTTGTGCCCACCCGGGTCGTTCTCCCGAGAACGCTGGCAGCGGGGCTGGTCTGGGGGCCGGGAGAGGGCTTGGTGTCCGTCTCTCCCAACTCAGAGACAGGGTCTCCCTGAGCTGCTTAGGGCTTCGCTGACTTGCTGAGGCTGGCTTTGAACTCAAGACCCTCCTGCCTCAGCCTCCTGAGCGGCTGGGATCACAGCTGTGCACCACGCGTCTGGCCAGGTGCCCTTGGAGAGCTGACCCCTGGTCCTCCAAATCCGCCCCTCCAAAGGACTTTAACAGCTCCACGTGCCCCGCGCTCTCACTAGTGGAGGCCAAGCCCACTGCCTGGCTTGCCAGTCCCCACCCCGCCTGTTGCCACCTGTTCCTGGCACACCTGCCCGGCCCACCGGCCCCTGTAGCTCTGCAGACCCGCAGGCTCAGTCCTGCCTCCTGGCCTGGGCCTGGCGGCGCTTCCCCCTGCAGCACTCGGCCCAGACCTTGGCCTGCGGCCTCCTTCAGGTCACTGGGTGGAAGCCCCGCCCCTCCCCACTTCACCTCCCTCTTGCACTCTCACCCTTGGAAGTGCCAGGACCGTGGTGAGGCTGACATTCCTGACGTCCCTGAGGGCAGGGTCTAGTTCTGAAGTCTTTGTGAAGGACGGGGGAGTGTGGCCTGACCTAGAGCAGTGGAGAGCTGGACACCTGGCGTGGCCCCCCCCGGTGGCCAAGAGCAGGCAGGAGACCACCGACTCCACTGGAGCTCTGCCCAGCCCTTGGGGCCCCTGGCTGGCCTTGGTCCTCCTCCTGGATGAGGGTCCTTCCGGGCAGTTGGGCTCTCTGGGGTGAGGGTCGGGAGGAGGCCTGTGGCCTCGGGCCCCAGAACACCCGTCGTCCTTCCCTTCAGCCTCAGTGTGTCCAGCTTTTCTTGGCAGTCCTCCAGGGAGGCCCCAGTCCCTCAAGGTCAAGGTCACCATGAGGTCTTCCAGTCAGACAGACCCAGGAGAAGGCTGGGGGAGGTGGCATGCTCTGGGTGCTGCGTACCCGCAAGGGCAGAGAGCAGGGAACCAGCCTCCGTGCCAGGCCCCCAGCCTCCTTGGGTTGGGCCGTGAGTGGGGAATCTCGTTTCCTGCTGGTCCAGGTTCCCGCGGGGTGAGCCTGCCCCGGCTAGGTCGCTGGGCAAAGCTTCCTCCATTTGTTCTGAGGAAGAGGAGTTGGCTGGCACCCGGCCCTCAGCCACTCCCCCTCACCAGCTTAGCATCCCGTCTCATCTCAGAGTGGCCTGGGCACGTGAGCCGGCCCCTGGGCAGCAGTGGAAGCCGACACCAGCGAAGGCTGTGGGAGGCGCCGGGCTGCTCTGGAGCCAGGAGCATTGGAGCGGCCCAGGAACCCGGGAGTCCACGCGGGCGGGGTGCGGAGGTCCCGGGCCAGGCCCGGACGCAGGCCAGAGGCAGCTTGTCCAGCTGGGCCTGGCGTGCTCTGCTCTGAGGTGACTCTGGAGGTGAGGGCAGGAAGCTCGAGTTTCCCTGGTCTGGAGCAACCCTGGCCATAATCCCCTCCTCAGCCACCACGGACATCACCCAAAACCTGAGGCGGGTGCCGTGGCGCACGCCTGCAGCCCAGCTATGCAGGAGGCTGAGGCAGGAGGATCACAAGTTCAAGACCAGCCTCTGCAGCTTTGTGAGACCCTCAGCAACTTAGCAAGACCCTGTGTCAAAAAATAAAAAGTCCCGGGAAGGCAGCTCAGTGGTTCAGTCCCCAGGGCCCAAACCAAGCCAAGCCCTGAGGTGGAAGCAGGATGCTGTGGGCTCTGGACGCTGGCAGGAGGGTGGTGCCAGGCGGCCTGAAGTAGAGACGGGCGGCCTCAGGGAGGGACCAGGCCAGCCTCCCTCCTCTGCTCTCCCACTGGCCTTCCTTGGAGTCCAAGAAGGCACGTCCAGAACAGGGGAATGGAGGGTGCTTGTCCGCATCCCCGAGTACAGATGGGCAGACACCAGGGCAGACAGGACACACCCCAGGCCCCTGTGGGAAGTCATTCCCCGGAGCCAAGGAACAGGAGGGACGGGGCCAGCTGGCTTTGTTGCTCGTGGGGAAGGGGGGCTGGGCCAGCAGGGGCACCAGGGGTCCAGCCTGACCCCTGGCCTCTGAATGTGTCTGGTCTGCCCAGGAGCTCACTGCTCCCTCCAACAGGTGAGGAGGGAGGAGGGCTGCACGGGGAGGCGCCGGCCTGGGGAGGGGCAGCCCCTCCTCGGCTCAGAGACAGGAAACCAACGGTGCTTCCCGGCTTGAGACAGCAGGGGCCTCCCCGGCCTCCTAAACATGCCTGGAATGGAGGTCACAGACTCGATGTCCCCCAGCCCCCTTCCCCTCCTGGCTCCCCTCCCCCACACATAGTGAGGCAGAGGCTGAGCCCTGGCCACAGGTGGACAGGGACTGCACACAGGGAGCCCCTCAGCTGAGGAGCAGACTCACCCGCCCACATTCCTGCGCAGCCCATCGTGCCTGCTGGCCTGGCCAGCAGAGGGTGGGGGAGGATCCCAGCGTCCCAGCCCTGTGGGCCACCCCAGACGCAGGACACAGGCAGGACTCTGCTTCCTGGGACACATGCGCGATGATCTCAGCAGACACACAGGGTCCTGCTCCAGGATCAGCCCCATGCCCAGCGCCCGCTGTGCTGCCCACACTGAGCCAGGCAACGCGCCGTGGCACCTCTCTTGTGCTGGGCTGGCTCCCCGTGCCCCATGGACATCCCAGGTGTGCCAGGCCCTTCACGTGACTCAGGGCCGGCTCGGGTTTCTCCCAAGGGGCCGCTCAGGGAAGCCTCCTGCCCAGCGCAGGGAGACGAACACAGACGTGAGGAAGGTTCCAGCAAAACAGCCGCCCGAGCCACCTGGACTTGGCTGCCCAGGCAGCTGTCCCCGCAGGGTTGGGACTGTCCCAATGCCAGCCCCACGTGTAGCCACAGGGAGGCTCCCCCAACATCTGGCAGCCTTCGCCCCCCACTCACACACTCGTGTTCTCTGCCGTGGCCTTGGCCTTGGGGTCCTTGAGTCCACGCAGAGGGCCTTCCTGCTCTGCTGGGACATTCTCTTTTGTTCCCCACAGCTGAGGACCAGCCCCCCACTTTGGAGCATGAGCCCCACCTGCCCCACCCTGGGATGCCCTGCACCTGAGGTGTCCCGTGGGTTCCCAGCTCGCCGAGCCCCTGGTCCGCGTCCGCACACCACCACCCCCGGCGCCTCGGCCCAGCAGAACCAGCGACTCTGGGTTCTGCATGCGGTGTGAAGTTCCTGTGGGCACAGAGAGGCCTGTGTCCTGGCCTGCTGGTCCCCAGCTGGTGACCTTGAGCAGGCCACTTCCCTCTCTGAGAACAGTGGGGAGAGCGCTGGGCCCCAGCTGCCCCGGGAGCTGGGCATCACCTCCACGGCAGCAGCCTGAGTGTCTGAGGCCGAGGACGCTGCTCCCTCGACTGTGGCCCTCTCGTGTCGTGGGGGATGGGTGGCCTCTCTGACTCCCCAGGCGAGTCCCCTAGGAAGGGGGGCTGGGGCCTGACTCCTTCTGGCATCCATGCGTCCTCCCCCATATCATTTCGGCCTCTGGGGCTGCTGGGGGCAGGCCGGGCCACAGAGACGGGCAGCACAGGTGAGGGTCTCCTGGCCAGGGCCCCTCAGGGACGCTGTTCCTCCCTGCCCCCCTGTGGCCCCTGTTAATCACTCAGCAAGATGTGCATGAAATCTGACCTGCGCTTGCCTGATAGCATCTCCGGGTACCAGCCTCCCTCCTGCCCCGACCTGCCCCCGCCCCGCAAAGGCCCTTCTCAGGCAGCCCACGGGGAGGGGAGTGTACCCAAGAGGGCACACGGGAGCCTGCGTCCCTCGGGGGATTAGTTCGCCAAGGTTGTGGGTATAAAGCTGCCTGTGCGTCCTGCTGTTCCTACAGAGGCAGGCCGGGAGGGAGGGCCAGCGGGCGGCCCTGGACAGACAGGCAGGGGGCAGGGAGCGGGCAGGCGGGCACCATGTTCTATGATTGCCTCTTCTTAGCTGCCTGTCAGCGTGAGTACCCTTCATCCAGCTCCAAGCCCTTTGCACCCCTCCTGCCCCTCGAGGTCAGCGAGGCTGGGCGGAGCCCCTGGCTGTGGCCCCTACTGTGGCCAGCTGTCTCCTGGGAAGCCGGGATCGTGCTGGGGAAGGTGGGCCAGCACTTGGTCCTCCTAGAACTGCCAGGAGAAGGGTGGTCAGTTTACTCTCTGCCCGGGTCCTGCCTTTGGGGAACAGGGCCAGCCTCGACTTCTGTGGCCTGGTGGCCCCAGCACCCTGTTTGGTTCAGCTTCTGGATAAGAAGGGTCAAGGGTTGCTTCCAGGTGTTAGAGGTCCCTGGGTGCTATCTAGTGCCCACCCCACCCCGGAAGGGCACTGCCAGGGCTGGCCAGGGGAGCGGCAGGGCTCTTGGAGAAGCAGGCCTTGTGGGCTGGGCTCCAGCTTGCGTCCTGCCCTCCAGGTGGCTGAGGCTCCCTGTGGGCGCAGAGTTGACCTGGTGCCCCCTCCCCCACAGAGGGTGCCATGCGAGCCAGTGAGACGGTGTCAGAAGCCAGCCCGGGCTCCACAGCCAGCCAGACCGGCGTCCCCACTCAGGTGGTTCAGCAGGTGCAGGGCACCCAGCAGGTAGGATGGGGGACAGGCCTGCAAGGGGACAGTGCAGGTTGGGTTCTCTGGGGCCTTGCCTTCCGTCCATCAGGACATCTGCTCACTGTTCTTATCAAGATGGGCACGTCAGCCGCCCCCCCATGTGCATGTCAGCCCCCCAGGGATGTGCATGTCAGCCGCCCCCCCACAGGGCTGGGCCTCCCAGGGAGCTGGGCGGCTCAGCTCCTCACACTTTGACCCCCAGCGCTTGCTGGTGCAGACCAGTGTGCAGGCCAAGGCGGGCCACGTGTCACCCCTCCAGCTCACCAATATCCAGGTGGCCCAGCAGGTAAGCCTCCCACCGTTAGCCGCCCCCAGGGTGGGAAACCAGCCCCTGTGGCCTGCTTGGCCCAGTCCTTGCCAGGATTGAGGACACCGGCCCCATCCTGAGGCTTCCCCACCTCCTGGCTCTGGGTGGTGGGGTCCCCAGGGTAGGGGCCATCAGGGAGCAGTGCCTGGCCATCTCTAGAGCAGTGAGGGTTAGTGGGGAAGGGTAGCGGGCCAGCAGGGGCCAGCCGCAGCGTCCTAAAGCAGAAAGCCCAAGGCTGTGGAAGTCAGGAGCCCGGGCAGCAGGGGAGGGCGTCTGTCCTCCGGAAGGCCACATTTGGGATGCCAGGGCTCACCCCCATTTCCAATTGATCAACACAAAATTGGACAAATTGTATTGGATGTGTATGTGCGTGAGGTCCTGGGGATGGACTCAGGGCCTTAAACATGCTGGGCAAGCGCTCTAGCCCTGAGCCGCACCCGACCTCCGCGCCCGCACTCCGATACTATCGGAGCTTAAGGATGAGGTCACACTTGGCATGGGCTCAGCTGGGCCTCGGGTCCACACTCGACACTGCCACTTCCTGGATCTGCGACCTCAGATGAGCACTCGAACCTTCCTGAACCTCAGTGTCACCCCCTTGAAGTGGGGCAATGACTGCTGTGTTGGGGCTGTCAGTGAGTCCATGGGCTGAGAGGCAGAGAGCACTTACGCCACCACCTGGCACCTCTCAGGTGCTCAGGAGAGCCCCAGGCTGTCAAGGGTGATGGGCTTCCCTCTTTCCCCCGGCTCCAGGCTCTCCCCACACAGCGTCTGGTGGTGCAGAGCACAGCGCCAGGCAACAAGGGTGGCCAGGTGTCCCTGACAGTCCACGGTACCCAGCAGGTGCACTCGCCTCCTGAGGTAGGTGGTAGCCCCTTAGGACTCTGCCCTGTCCTGTCTCCCTGCTTTGGCCCTGTGCCCCCATAGGACACTTGAGGTTCCCTTGCTGTGAGCCTGCTCCTTCCTCTGCCCTCCCCACTCCTTCGCGGGCCCCGTGGCTCTGGGCTGAGTTGCCATGGGGTCTGGCTGTAGGAGGAGGGGTGGCCTCCCGGGGTTGAGGTGGCCTCTGCAGGTCCTGCTCAGGGGATGGCATCACAGGACACAACAGTGGCTTCCTTTTCCATCTGCAGGGTGGGTGGAACCCCTTCTGAGAGTTTGGAACCACGTGGTGGATTCTGGGGACCACACACATCAGTGAGGGCTGGGGACAGTCAGGAGGCCTGGAGCACGGCCCCAGCATCAGGGGCTTGGGGCCAGGGCCTGTCTCAGCTGTTGCTGCTGCTGGGCCTCTAGGCAGGGCTTTGAGCCTCAGGAGCCCAGGGCTGTCTGTGTATGAGGGAAGAGCAGCCAGGCATGAGGGGGCACACCTGTAATTCCAGCGACTGGGAGACAGACAGGAGGATCTCAAGTTCAAGGCCAGACTCAGCAACTTAGTGAGGCCCCGTCTCAAAATAAAAAACAGAAAGGGCTGAGGGTGTAGCTCAGGGGTAGAGGCTCCTGGGTTCAATCCCTAGTACTGGGTGGCAAGGGAAGAGCTGTCCACTGCCCGTCAGCTGCTGTGGGAATGACAGCCCAAGCCTGGCGCAGAGCAAACGGGCTTTGTAGCCAGCCCACCTGTGTGGCCCTGGGCCTGTCCTTCCCCCTCTGCCTCCACTAGGAAGCAGGGATGCTGTGGGATCCTGGTGAGTAAACATAAAGCGCTCAGAGCAGCACCTGGTGGGAATCAGCACATTGTCTGTAGCTGCTACTGTCATTACTGTGACTTTTGAGAATTGGCCTCAGGAGAGCCTCAGAGGGCTGATTTAGTGGGTGGCTTCCATGGCCCAGCCAGACTTTCCCAGCCCATAAACTCTGTTGGGTCAGGGCTACAGCTCTTCTGGAGAGAGCAGGTGGCCCCTGACCATGGCTGGGGTCCCAGCCATCTTCCCTAGGGAGGATGGGCCTCAACCAGCACCTCTGAGCTGAACCCTCTCCTGGGGGTGACCAGGACTGACGCAGGCCGGAGCATCTGGATGCACGAGTACAGCCTGTGGTCAGCGCAGGTGGTGGGACACGACACCACCACCTGCTGCCCTCTCCACAGAGCCCTCCTGAGAAGGGGGTTGGGGCCCAGGTTTCCCAGAGATGCCCAGAGCCCAACCTGACATCACCGTGTCTCCTTCCCTTGCAGCGGTCGCCGGTGCAAGCCAATAGCTCCGCCAGCAAGACAGCTGGGGCCTCCACGGGCACAGTGCCCCAGCAGCTGCAGGTTCATGGTGTCCAGCAGAGTGTCTCCGTCACCCAAGAGGTGCCTGGCCAAAGCGGGCAGCAGCCAGGGCAAGGGGTCGCAGCCAGCTGGCCTCTGCAGCCACCCATGGCTGTGCCTCTGGCCTGTTAGAGCCAAACACGCAGGGCTCCAGCCCCAGCTGCAATCTGAGTCTCCGACTAGCACCTCCACCTCTCCAGACGCAGTGTCCTGGGGTGGGGGGCTGCGCTGAGGGTGAAATGCAGACCCTGCAGAAGGCGCCGTGGGCGGGGCAGCCTCAGACCAGCTTTAACGGTCCACTTTGGCCTATGGGGATCCGTTTGCCCAGAGGAGGTCCTGAGGCCAAGTCACAGTGCATTCACAGGTCTCAGGCAGAGGCCCTAGTTTCCAGATCCAAGCCTTCCAGGGGAGACTGAGCTCTGAGCTACAGCCACAGCAGCCGGGGAGGTTAAGGGGCAAGAGTCATCTGCTGTCTGTTGTGATTGTTCAACTCGGGGGTTCCTGGCCCCTCATAAATCAGATGAAGCTGGGCACAATGGTGTTTACCTGTATATGATGCTTAGAAGGTTGAGGCAGGAGCTCATTTGAGCCCAGGGGTTCAAGGCCAGCCTGGGCAACATAGGGAGATCCTGTCTCTTAAAAGCAAAGCAAAACCAAACGAAACCAGGAAAAAAAAAAACACACACACACACACAAATGGAAGCCATAAGTTCCCAGAGAAAATCGGAAACCCCATCTAGAGGATTCACAGATTTTTTTTCCTGCCCAGTGCCAGAGCCCCTCTAAATCTCCAGACCTGGGTTCAAGTCCCAGCCCCAGCACTTAGCACCAGCCCCCCCCCCCCCCAGCCACTGTTCCCTAGTAAGGACAGCTTACTATGTCCTTACTGAAGTGAGGGCACCAAAGATAAGCCAGGTCTGTGCACTCCTGAAGGACCTGCAGAGAGCGGAGAAGAGTAGGTCCAATGCCTGCCCATGCCACCTCCTGGCAGTCGTACCCGGCTGGGCCTTGTTTCCCGTGCCTGTAACTGGATGCCCAGAGGCAAGGCAGTGGTGAGCCCCGACGCCCTTGGTGCTGGGCCCCGCAACAGAGTTGCTTTTCTTTGGCTGGAGAATGGCGCGTTTTTTCCTTAGGTGGCTGTGGTGAAGTTTAGGTAGGTTCACGGTATAGAGGACGGGGACTTATCTAGCCGCCGTCGTGGCCATGGTAACCGCGGCCTCACTTGTCTTCTCTTTCCCTTCCTTTCCCAGAGGTCTGTGGTCCAGGCCACCCCGCAGGCACCCAAAGCGGGCCCCGTGCAACAGTTGACCGTGCAGGGACTTCAGCCAGTCCACGTGGCTCAAGAGGTAGGTGCCCCCCCCATCTACCCCAGGTAGATGGGGGGGGGGCGGGCAAAGTGGGGCTGGTCTCCAGTGAGGGATGGGAACGCAGGTCCCTGCCCCGAAGGGGGGGAAATGGAACCTCCTGGGGTCCTCAAGGACAGAGGGCTCCAGGTCTGGCTCCAGGCTGCACCCCTGTCTGTGGGCTGCGGATCCGCCCTGAATCAGCCCCCTTTTCGGGCACCTCATGCCCAAGTTTTGCTGAGAGAGACCTGGATTCAAATGCCGCTTCTTTCTAGCCTGGGTCCCTTCCCCCTCTCCTCCCTGAGGCACTGGGCGGGACCGTCGCCTGGGTGTGCGCATTGCTGCCCACTGCGAGGCCCGGAGCCCCGCCCGCGGCCGGACCCAGTGACGCCCCAGTATCTCTGTTTGTCCTCCAGAGCTCAGACAGTCAGTTTCCCGCTAGGAAGGCAGAGCAGCGAGAGCCCCGGCCCACGCCGCAGCCAGAGCCGCCACCCCGGCCGCCCCCGCCCACGCCCGGGCTCCGGCCAGGCGCGCTGGCCCCGGAGCCACCGCCGCTCCCATCGGTGTGCAGCGGCGAGGCCCCGCAGCTAGGCAGCCCCGAGCCGCAGCTGACCCATTACGAGCCAGGCGTCGAGCAGTGGGTGGAGCTGGTGGGCGTGCTGCCCCCGCACCTGCTCCTGCCGCAGCAGAAAGTGGTCCTCGAGCCCCTGCCCGGGCTCTCAGCCCGAGCCAGCCCCGACCAGAGGGTCAGGATCCAGAGAATCCCCCAGGTGCTAGTGTTCAGCACGGCCGCCACGGCCCTCAAAGTAGGTGGTGGACGCACGGGCGGGGGGCAATGGGGGGCGGGGGTATGCCCCGGCTGCCCACCAGGCCCCTCAAGCCCTGTAGACCCCACCTCCGCCCTGCAGGTCGGTCTAAGGGCCCGCCTCCAACATCCCACAGCGGGTTCCAGGTCCTAGGCTCCATCCCTGCAGATCAGGGTGGGGGTGGAGGTGGGATACTGAAGCCCCGCCCCTATGGCGCTGAAGTCGTTTGAGGGTTCTGTCACAAAACTGGCCCCAGGCTCCGCCCCTAATATCCTGTGCTGGGCTAACAGGCCCCGCCCCTGGGGCCATGTGTAGTCCAAGCTCTGGCTTTAACTACACCTTGTCCCCATTCTTGGCCCAGCCCTAAGGCCTACCCTTCTGGCCCACTGTCTGACCTGCGTGGGCTCCCCTGTTGCCCATCAGCAGGCCCCACCCTTGCCGTCTCCAGCAGAAGCAGAGTGTCTTGGCGGTCCTCCTGATACAGCTCTTCCTGATTCCCAGCCCCAGCTGAGGCTGTAGCCCCTGAGCCTCTGACCTCGGCCCCCATCAGGGTGTGGTGTTTAGAGAACCCAGATGTGCACCTCCTAGTCAGTGACCTGGCCTCAGGGAGAGCTTGAGAACCACCAGCTCCACAAGGCGGAGGCCGGAGCCACCCCCTGACCCTGCCGCCTTCCTCCTGCCCAGGTGCAGCAGCTCCAGCAGGTCCCGGTGCCGCATGTGTACTCCAGCCAGGTCCAGTACGTGGAGGGCGGCGACGCCAGCTATGCAGCCAGCGCCATGTAAGTGGGCAGGGGCACAGGGAGGGCAGGGCAGGGGCGTAGGTCTGCTCAGGACTCCAGGCCTCAGGTGACAGTTAGGTGGGCACCACCCAGGGGCAGCCATCGGCCCCCAGGCATGCCAGAGCAGAGGGAACCTGGCATCCTAGCAAGCGTAGGGCTTTGGGCCTCAACCGGCCTGGCTTTCAGAGGTAAAAAAAAAAAAAAAAAGTGCCTATTTATACACGTGTGCACACACACATTTTTACAAGATAGAAAGTTTCTGTGTGTTAGGGACATTAACAGTGAAGAGGTGACTTGGATCCTGGCCGCCCCCCCCTGCCCCAGGGTGACCTGTTTCTTTGTTCCTCCCAGAGATTCTCCAAGAACAGAAACTGTTCCTTCCTTTCTTCAGAAATGGAGGCCGGTTCTGCCTCTCACTTCTCCACCCAGCCTGTCCCTGGCCCTCCCCTGGCTCCCCCCATTTGTGCACATGGGTCCCTCTTGGCTTCTTCAACACTGCCCAGCACTCCTCTGTACAGGTGTCCCTGGTCCCCATGCAGCTGATACACAGGCGTCTCTGCCAGGTACTGCACAGGGGCCAGTGTCGTGTCCCAGAGCAGCCTCCAGGGGCCGACTCCTGATGGAAGCCCTCTACGGCCTCTCCCTCTCCCACCCTCCAAGCAGTGATGCCGACTAGATTGCTGCTGCTCTTTCAGTTTCTAGAATTTCCATTTGGTTTTCTTTGCATTCGTCTGATTTTTTCTTTTGTCCTTGCCACCTGTCCTTGCGGGCCCCGTGCTGGGATTGGATTAGCTCAGAGAGTGACTCTGTCCTTGGGTCATGACGCTCTAACTGACCCTGAGGAGTGTGGTCCTGGCACCTGCATTGCCATCAGTTTGTTTCCGGTGCTGCTAACTGTCTTCATGTGCAGCTGACCCCAGCGGCCGGGGCCAGGGGGGGCCGTTCCCAGGAGGAGGGCTGCCCCCAGGCCCACCTCGCTGTTAGCCGCAGAGTGGGCCCTGCGCCTGGCCTGGCTCCTTCTGGGGGTACTTTCCTTGGCTTCTGCCTGGACTTCTCCCTCCCCACGGAGCTCACGGCCACTGTCGCATTCTTCTGCCACATGAAGTTCTTGCTTTGGGTGTGTCTTTTGTCTGTGCCTCCTGGCAGACTGTCACCAGGTTCCCAGCCCTCTGCCAGCCTGGATCTCCACGCTGGCACAGCCGCGGCCTCTGGGCTTCCATCCCTGGCTTTGGACATTAATTTATCTGTTCATTTAGCAAATATCTACCAGCGCAGCGCTGTGTGCGTGTGGTCCTGGAGCCCTGGGTGCCCATGGATGGAGCCCGGGGTGCCCACGGTCTAGAGCCGCTCTGCACCCCCGCTGAGCTGCCTGCCCAGCCCCGCACAGCATTTCTGGAGCATGTGTTGCCTGTGGGGCCCTTGGCTGAGCCGTGGCCTTGGGGAGGAGGCACATGCTCCTGGCATTACTCTGAGGTAGACGTGGGCCTCGGTGATCAAGAGCTGGACCCTGGTGTCCAGTGAGCAGACCACTCACCTGGGGTGATGGAGCCGCCCCGCCTCCTACCAACCTCCTCCTCTCACCTCCCTGGCCCTGCCCGCGGGAACTGACCCGAGGGCGTTGCTGGTACAGTCCCCGGCATACAGTAGGCGCTCACTGCATGTATATCAACATGCCGGGAACCAGCCCAAGGTTGCAAATTTCGTTTTGTTTCTTCAGATATTTCTTGGTCAGGGGCCGTGTGTCACAGGTGACCCAGCCCATCTAGCTCAGCTTCCTCGCGTTCCGAGTGGGAGGTGACCCTGGCACTGAGGGCTGCCCAGATGGTTCCGTGAGAACCTGCCCATCAGGCCCGAGGACGCTGCCGTCAGTAGGAGGGAAGGGGCTGCGCTGGGGACTGCTGCGTCCCTGGCCCCCTTCTGGGACCTCCTCCCCTCCCACAGGACCGTGCCCCTCGGCCACCCAGCTCTCCCCGCCCTGGCCCTCACGCCCACCCCCTCTGCCTCTCCCAGCCGCTCCAGCACCTACGCCTACCCCGAGGCCCCACTGTACACACAGCCGGCGGGCACCAGCTACTACGAGGCCGCAGGCACGGCCACCCAGGTCAGCTCACCGGCCACCTCCCAGGCGGTGGCCAGCAGCGGCTCCGTGCCCATGTACGTGTCCGGCAGCCAGGTGGTGGCCAGCTCCGCCAGCAGCGGGGGTGGGGCCAGCAACAGCAGCGGAGGTGGCGCAGGCAGCGGCGGGGGAGGCGGCGGCAGCGGGGGTGGCAACGGCGGCAGCGGCAGCGGCAGCAGCAGCAGCGGCGCAGGCACCTATGTGATCCAAGGTGGCTACATGCTGGGCAGCGCCAGCCAGTCCTACTCCCACACCACCCGTGCCTCGCCAGCAACGGTAAGCACCCGGCAGGAGGTGGGTGGGCAGTGGGCATTGGAGCTGGTCCCTGGCAGTGGTTGCTGGCCACCATTAGTAACCTGGTACGGCAGTGCCTGTGTGCGCTCACCACGGGATGGAATCCCCACTGTGTGACCTCTCACAAGTTACTCAGCCTCTCTGGGCCGTGGCAGATACGTGTGAGGCCCTTAGAGTGGTGCCCAAAGAAGTGGGTCACCTCTTCTGAGTGTCACTTGACAATAGAGGATGGATGGTAGTGAAGGGAGAGGCAGGCACCCTCACCCGGGAGCTGTGAGGAGTCCCTGAAGTCCGCCCACAGGGCCCCTCCCCCGCCACATGACGGGCGTGCTCCCCGGGTCCCCCTTAGGCACAGGTGCAGCCTGACTTCTGACCCCCTTTTTTCCACGTCTACTTTTTAAAATGCTGGCTGTGACCTGCCCCGTCGATTCTGTGACCACCTGGGGGTGATGCTCTCTCCGGGGCGCCCCTTCCTCACATGCTTAGGTTTGGGGAGGCCACCCTTGGCCAGCGCTGGGGCTGCGGGGGAGCTCCACGGTCGAGCGGGGACGTGAGTCCCTGGGTCCCTCCCCTGCACCGAGGGACCACACAGAGCACCCTGACTGTCCCCTGCACACCTCCCTCCCGGTGTCCCATTCCTCTGCCGCGTTGTCGAGGATACTTTCCAGATGGAGTCACACCTCATGACTGTGGCGCCAGCTCATCTCCCGCCACATACATCAGCGTGACTTTGTGTCTCAGTGGCTCTGTGTGGCCCGTGGCACCCGGCCTGGGCGGCGCAGCTCCCTGGGGGGACTGGGGGAGGACGGGGACTGATGTGGAGCTCTCAGCCGCCCCACCTAAGAAGTGGAGGCAACCCTCAGTGGTGTCCCCGTCGCCCCTCCGCCCAGGTCCAGTGGCTGCTGGACAACTATGAGACGGCGGAGGGCGTGAGCCTGCCCCGCAGCACCCTCTACTGCCACTACCTGCTGCACTGCCAGGAGCAGAAGCTAGAGCCCGTCAACGCCGCCTCCTTCGGCAAACTCATCCGCTCCGTCTTCATGGGGCTGCGCACACGTCGGCTCGGCACCAGGTGGGGTTCCTGTCCCCAGCTGTCCTTGGGCTGCGAGGGTACACCTCAGCCACAAGACCAGCCAAGGCGAGGTGCCCGGCCTCGGCGTCCTCGTCTGTGCGCCGGGCAGTGGGGACCACCCTCCCCAGGGCGTGGCGGGTAGGGTGCGCCTGTGCGCTTAGGGCATCGCGCGTCATTAGTGCCAGTCGTCAGCAAGCACTTGGCCGGCGCCTGCGGCCCTGTGTCGGGATGGGGGGGTGAGCAGAGAACCAGACCCCGGCCCTGTCCCAAGAGGCCTCAGTCAGCAAGTGGGGGCCTCTGCTGGTACCCACAGCCCTGTGTGTCCCCTTTGTGCGTCCCCAGGGTGTTGGCCCTGGCTCAGCAGCACACATCTCCACTTAGCCCCCGGGGGAGCCAGAGTCAGAGTCTGGCACGGTGCTCCCAGGACCGGCCCTCACCCTCGGCTTCCTCCCAGGGGCAACTCCAAGTACCACTACTACGGCCTGCGCATCAAGGCCAGCTCGCCCCTGCTGCGGCTGATGGAGGACCAGCAGCACATGGCCATGCGGGGCCAGCCCTTCTCCCAGAAGCAGAGGTAGAGGAGGGGACACCAGGAAAGCCACCCCACCCAGCCACCCGCCCCCACAGCGGGCCCACCTGCCCCCTCTCCCGCAGGCTGAAGCCCATCCAGAAGGTGGAGGGCGTGACCAACGGGGTGGCCGTGGGGCCGCAGCAGGCCGTGGGGCTGTCCGACATCAGCGCCCAGGTGCAGCAGTACCAGCAGTTCCTGGGTGAGCTCCCGGCAGGGCGGGGCCGTGCTCAGGGGCTCAGGCTGCCTCTGCTGGGGTCAGTTACCATGATTCTGTGCCCAGAAACGTCCCCAAGGCAGATCCCCATTCCTTCCAACAAGGGATCGTTTTTCTAACCCACCATGCTGCGCGGGGTTCCAGATCCCAGGCCAGTGGCGCAGCAGCTCAGGGGGCCAACCCAAATGTCAGCCTGTGGACTAGAGGGCAGGCTCCCTGCTGCCCGCCCAGAGCCCTTGTGACGAGGTGGTGCCACCCCCTCCAGCTCTCCGGCTGCTGCGGGCTGCAGAGGCAGGTGTGCAGCACCCAGGTGTCCAAATATAAAGAAAACCAGCCCCTTAAAGGCGGCTCAGGGATGCTCATGGCACCCAGGAAGCCCAAGAGCTTGGTGCGTGCCTGCCGCGCCTCCGTGACAGTGGCATGTGGTGGCTGCTTTCTGGCTGTTACCCATGCAGCCCAGGCACCCGGCCTGGGTGGCGCAGCTCTAGGATGTCCTGTGGCACGCAGTTCCCTGGGAGGACTGGGGGAGGATGGGGACACTGTCGCAGAGGGGTGGGGGCCAAGGGGCGGGAGGCCGCCTCGCAGAGCCGGGGTGTCTGGAGTGATCTCCATGAACAGCCCCACACTGGGGCCCTCGGGCTCTGGGTGGCATCCCTGGAGTCCTGACTAGGCCCTGGTGGCCTGCTCCTGGTGGTCAGGTGGGTACTAGGAGCCAGCCTGGACTCAGTCCCATGTCCCAGGGGCCGACCCAGGGATGCCCCTGAGCAGACCAGCCAGGGCCAGCAGGAGCCCCTGTTCCGGGGGCTGAGACCCTGGGCAAGGTGTTTGCCCTCCCTGAGCCTTGTCATCCTTTGTACGTGGGGGTCCCCTCTTTGGAGAATTGGTGACAACCCCGTAGGATGCCTGGGAAGGCTGGGAGGCGGGAAGGCCAGGGGCACAGGCCTCATTATGTGCACCCCCCCAGATGCCTCTCGGAGTCTCCCTGACTTCACTGAGCTTGACCTCCAGGGCAAAGTCCTGCCCGAGGGCGTCGGGCCGGGGGACATCAAGGCCTTCCAAGTTCTGTACCGGGAACACTGTGAGGTAGGGCAGCTGGAGGAGCCCGTGGGCAGGGGAGGACCGTACTGCCCGCTGCCCCCGAGCATCCCGCCCGCCTCCCCACAGGCCATCGTGGACGTCATGGTGAACCTGCAGTTCACGCTGGTGGAGACGCTGTGGAAGACCTTCTGGAGACACAACCTCAGCCAGCCCAGCGAGGCCCCTGCCCTGGCCGTGTGAGTCCTCACGTGAAGGGGGAGGGGTGTGGCCCTTGCGGTTTGTGTGAGTGCCCTGGACCCCCACGGCCCATGTGTGTCTGACACCCAGAGCACAGGAGCTGGGCACCGGGCAGGGCAGCCCCTCCGCCCTGGAGGAGACCCCAGTGTACAGAGCCCAGGAGCCCCATCAGCCCGTGGCCTCGAGGCCCGAACCAGCCTGGCCCTGCGCGTCCGCAGGAGGCAGGAAGTGCCCAGCCAAACCCCAGTCGGCAGTGGCTGGCTGGTGCCTCCGTCATCCTGGGCACAGGACCATGGAGCACCTGTGTGACCTGGGGTGGACGGGTGCCCGCAGGCACGATGAGGCTGAGAAGCGGCTGCCCAAGGCCAGCCTGGTGCTCCTCTCCAAGTTCGAGCCTGTGCTGCAGTGGACCAAGCGCTGCGACCACGCGCTGTACCAGGGCCTGGTGGAGATCCTCATCCCTGACGTGCTGCGGCCCATCCCCAGTGAGTGCGTGGCCTGCCCCGTCCCCAGTGAGTGCACGGCCCCCTCCCTGACCGCCCCCCCCACTGCCCACAGGTGCCTTGACCCAAGCGATCCGGAACTTTGCCAAGAGCCTGGAGAGCTGGCTCACCCACGCCATGGTGCACATCCCCGAGGAGATGCTGCGGGTGAAGGTGAGGCCGTGCCTCTCCTCCTGGCTCTGGGGCCGCGGGCTTCGCTCTCCTGGGCTCCACAGGGGCTGAAGACTTGTCCCCACACCTGTCCTGGGGAGGATGGGAGTGCACTTCGGGAACCTGGGGCCTCAGGGAGGACTCAAGCGTCGTCTTATAGAACAGCTCCCTCCAGTGCCCACTGCTGAGACATGACCCCTCGTAGCAGTGAGGACTTAACATCTTAAAAATATATAAACCAAGCCAGGCCCGGGGCGCACCCTGCAGCCCCAGTGACTGGGGAGACTGAGACGGAGGATCTCTTGCAAGGCCCCTGGGCAACTTATAGTAAGACCCATCTCAGAAAATAAACAGGCCTGGGGATGTGCTCAGTGATAGAGCACCCTGGGTTCCATCCCTAGGGTAGCAAAAAAATAAAAATAAAAACCAAATATGAATTTGCATTAGTTATCTTCAGACAGCCTGGTGAGAAAGCACTTCTTGTGTTCAGAACAGAAGAGACTTTTTTAAACAGACAGTGTCTGTAAGGAAAGGGTGAGCGCCTTTCCATCAGTGCTGCAGGTTCGTTAACTACTCAGGTGCAAGGGATGAGGCAGGATGTGCTGGCTTTTGGGCAAACAGCATAGAAGCTAAACAAACTCCATATCTGCTTCCCCCCCTCCGGCCCCGTCCCCAGTGCTGTGTGTCCAACCTAGGATCATGTGCAGGCTGGTCAGGGTGGGGGAGAGTATGCCCGGTAAGTGGGTGGCAGGAGGAAGCCCTTCAGAACTGGCAAGACTCATATGCTTGTTCGTTCAACATGCATTTATTGAGCACCTACTGTGTGCCCGGCTTGCTTCTCAGTGCTGGAAGGATAGCACTGAACAAGATGGACAGTCACCCTGCCCTCCTGGAGCTGAAATCAAGGGTACAATAACCAAAAAATTAAAAAGTCTAAGAAGTGTGGTGCCCTTTCTGGGCGGTGCCCTCTATATATTCCATTGTTTTCTTTCCTTAAAAATAACAACAATGGGCTGGCTGGGGACCGCAGCCTGTAATGCCCCGATTCCAGAGGCTGAGGCAGGAGAACCGCAAGTCCAGGCCAGCCTGGCCAACTTAGAAGATTAAAGGGCAGGGATGGGGGAGGGCGCTGGGGAATCCCGCTTAGTGGTAGCGTGGTAGCCTGGGTTCAGTCTCCAGTACCAAAAGGGAAAAAAAGGTCAGGTCATGGGTGCAGTGGTGCTGATTAGAATGCAGTAAGTTGGTCTTGGGCCCACGTCAGTGCACATCTTTCCTTTTAAAGCAAGGGGAAACGGAGGAGGCTCAACCGCTGCAGCGGGTGAGGCGGGGGCTGGAGGGCGGGTTCCGCGGAAGCCACAGCCCCTCTGGCCCGCACGCAGGTGGCCGCGGCCGGCGCCTTCGCGCAGACGCTGAGGCGCTACACTTCGCTCAACCACCTGGCGCAGGCGGCGCGCGCCGTGCTGCAGAACACGGCGCAGATCAACCAGATGCTGAGCGACCTCAACCGCGTGGACTTCGCCAACGTCCAGGTGAGCGCCAGGCGGTGCAGGGGCGCGCGGGGCGGCCCGGCGGGGCGAAGGCTGAGCCTCGGGCGCTGCCCGCTCCCCGCTGTGCTCCAGGAGCAGGCCTCGTGGGTGTGCCGCTGCGAGGACCGCGTGGTGCAGCGTCTGGAGCAGGACTTCAAGGTGACGCTGCAGCAGCAGAACTCGCTGGAGCAATGGGCGGCCTGGCTGGACGGCGTCGTGAGCCAGGTTCTCAAGCCCTACCAGGGCAGCGCCGGCTTCCCCAAGGCCGCCAAGCTCTTCCTCCTCAAGTGGTCCTTCTACAGGTGCGTGCCTGTGCGGGGCTGGGTGGGACCAGCGAGGCCACGCCCCAGGACGCCAGTAGCGGGGCCCTGCTTCCTGGGTCGGGCCAAAGGTGGAGCCCAAAGGTTCCTTCTGTTTGGAGCTGATAGGACCCTAGAGTCCCGCTGCTTGGCGTGGGTGGGACTGGAGAAGCCTCCGCCTCCGAGGAGGGCGAGGCTCAGGTGCTCTTTCAAGAAAGTGGGGGCCTCGGCCCTCAATGAGGGACAACCTAGGAGAACCAGCGTGGTGTCCTGTGTCGGTCGCCGGGCTCGCGCGTGCCTGGGTGCATTGAGAGACAAGCGGGGCGAGCGGCTGAGCCGGGCCTGAGGGCCTCTCGGTTGCCACCCCCAGCTCCATGGTGATCCGGGACCTGACCCTGCGCAGCGCCGCCAGCTTCGGCTCCTTCCACCTCATCCGGCTGCTCTACGATGAGTACATGTACTACCTGATCGAGCACCGCGTGGCCCAGGCCAAGGGCGAGACCCCGATCGCCGTCATGGGCGAGGTGCGCACCACGGGGCGCTGAGGGCGTGGGCCCGGCTCCAGGCGGTGGGACCCTCACTCTCTCTTCTCGCCTCTCTCCAGTTCGCCAACCTGGCCACTTCGCTGAACCCCCTGGACCCGGACAAAGGTAGGCAAGGCGCGTCCCCACTCAGGCCCGGGTCCCGGAGGCGGCGGGCAGGGAGGCTGGGGTGGAAGAGCCGGCGGGGCGCCGACACCCTGCGCTGAGCCGAGACTGGTCCGTGTGCCCCAGACGAAGAGGAGGAAGAGGAGGAGGAGAGCGAGGACGAGCTGCCACAGGACATCTCGCTGGCGGCTGGCGGCGAGTCGCCCGCGCTGGGCCCCGAGGCCCTGGAGCCGCCGGCCAAGCTGGCGCGGACCGACACGCGCGGCCTCTTCGTGCAGGCGCTGCCCTCAAGCTAAGCCCGCAGCCCCGCCCCGCCCGCCCCTCCCGCCCCTCCGTTCCTCCACGCCCCTCCGTTCCTCCACGCCAGGGTCCCTCACGGCTTCTGTGGCTTCGCTGTCACCCCTCCAGGCCCGGGCCAGGGCAGGAGGGGGCCTCCGAGACAGGGAAGGCAAGGGGGCCCCGCCCCCCCCATGGGGCCGGCACAATCACAGGGCTGGGCGGAGCCGCAGCTGCAAACTCTGACACAAAAGACGTGCCTTAAGGAACCCGCCGCCTTGCCCAGGTGCCCCACAGGGCAGCTCGGCCCCTGCCTCCCACCCTGCCAACCAAGGTCGCAGCGTCTCCCCCACAGGCCCGCCGCCCCAGGGGGCAGGCAGGCAGGCCCCCTCTCCTAGGAACTGTTAACTTATTCTGCTCGCTGGCTTTGCACAGCCTGTCCTGGGCCCAGCCGAGCCCCGGGCAGGCGCAGGTGGGTGGCACCTGGGGACCCCCACTGTCAGCAGCAGCCCCGGGACAACCCCCCACCCCCAGCAACCCCACTGCTTCCCCCTTCTTGGTATAAGTGCAATTAAAGCTGTGGGTGTTGCATCTTCTCCAGAGCTGGGCCTCCCTCGCCCCGTGGCCCCTAGAGAGAGGGGGCCACTGCGACGGCGGCAGGGGCCGCGGCTTCCAGCTTCCAAAGAAGAGCAGCGGGCTGCTGCAGGGCCGGGAAGTCCCCGCGCCCGCCCGGCCAGTGCTGGGTGCTCCACACATCCGAGGCCCTGCGCCCTGCGCCCTCTGCGCTGCTGGTTTGTAATGGAACCTTCTCCTGGAGACTCGCTTCTCCTCCGTGCCGTGGACCCCGCCCCCCATGACTATTGTGCGATTTGTGAGCGCCGCCTGAGCGGAGTTGGTAACTTGTTGGGTTTTTTTCCAACCATCATGGCCTTATCTGTTCCAGTTTTCTCAGTGTTTTCAACCTGTGAGATAGATGTTTATGGCAAAAAAAAGAAAAAAAAAAAAAGGAAAATCTGACCTATTGTATAAGAATCACTATTTTGTGTGCTCCGCGTGCTACAGCTTTTGGGGTGGCCCTGCCACTTCCCCAATGCCCACGGGGCCTCCCCTCTCCCCGGCGGTGAAAGTGTCCACACGTGTGGTAGTTTAGTGTGCCGAGCTGTTTTCTACCTTTTTGTAGTCTTTCTTAAAACACAATAAATTCCGCTGTGATATTTGTCTGCTGCTGACTTGCTGGGCCTTGCTGGGGGCCATGGGATGGGGGCTCCAGCTGGGCCCTGGAGCTGAAGTAACAGGACCTCAGCCAAGTTCAGAAATAAAGCATTTACTACATGAAGAGGAAGAGGTGGGGGCGGCTAGCAGGTTCCCGCCTCAGGAGGGGAGCCTTGGGTGGGCAGGTCCACCCCACCTCCCCCAGGGTCTCGTGCAAACCTGCAGCCAAGGAAAGGGGCAGATGCACAGGAGCCAGGCCCGGGCCCAGCTCGGGGTGAAGGTGGGTCTTGAGGCTGGGGGGCAGGGGGCTCCCTCCCTCTGCCCTTTCCCAACTTAAATAGGCATAAATAAAAAAGCGTCCAGACTCTCAGGCCACCAGGGGCTGCCCCGCCCAGCCCCCTTCCCGCAGCCTAACACTAGTGCCGGTCGGCGGCCGGCCGGGAAGAGGCCAGCCCGGGAAGGCGGCCAGCTCCCAGGCCGCGGAGGTAGTTGGAGTCAGTGTCCAGGGCGGCCGGACCTCACAGCACAATCCACGTGTACCGCTCGCTGTCGGCCAGAACCTTCAGGGAGCAACCTGCAGGAAAAGCGGAGACAGCTGTGAGCCTGCCTGCCAGCGCCCTTGAGCTAGGCCCAGGCGGCCGCCCTCCCCTGGCCCTGATTCCACGAGGTCCACTGGCGTGTCCAGCTGTACATTCATTCAGCAGGTGCCTCTGAGGGCAGGTGACCGGCCAGCAAGCACATCAGGTCCCGAGCCCCACCTTTGTGCAGAGCCTCATTGGTCATCCTGTTGACATAGCGGCCACTGCTCTCAGGCACCAGCCACTTCATGACCATGTCCACGCAGCTCTTGCGGTAGGAGCTCCAGACGCTGCCGCTGAGGGGGGAGGGGGTGAGTGGGGCTTGGGACCCTAGCTGTCACCCCCTCCCCCTCCCCACCAGCTCCACCTCACCTGGTCTGCCCTTTGACCTCAGTGAGGTCACCCACACTGACGGTCTCAAAGATGCCCGTATTGAGATCCCATGCCACCTTGAGGCTGGTGTGATAAGTCTTTGGTCTGTAGCGGGGTGGGGGAAAGAGAGGACGGGGAGGTGGAGACAGGATGGGGGAGGCGGAGTCAGGACGGGGAGGCGGAGTCAGGACGGGGAGACCGAGACAGAGGACGAGGAGGCGGGGCCAGGCGGGCCGTGGGTCCCTAACGCTGCGCCTGTCTTTAGGTCACATGGGTGATCTAGGTTCTGGCCCGCTGAGTGGTCTCCCCACATGCCCAGCCCTGGAGAAGGGCTGGGCAGGGCTCCTCCACCCACTCACCGGAGCTGGCCCTCCTCACTGGGGGAGGGGAAGGCCAGGAGCAGCAGGCCGATGTTGATGAGGACCTGGCTGGTTTCGGGGCAGACCTGGAAAGCGGAGGGGACGCTATTCATGGTCACCCCTCAGAGCAGGAAAGGCTTGGGCCCACCCTGCCCCATGCTTGGACCCACCTCCAGAATGACTATGTCATAGTCACTGAAAGAGCAGAACTGGTGGCCCCAGGTGGCATCATGGCGAATGACCTCGTTGATGACGTACTCGAAGTCCAACGTGAGCTGCTCCACTGTCAGATACTGGCCCTGGGGGCAGTGGGTGGAAAGCAGGGGGATGATGGTGCCACCTGCCACCCACAACTCCTGGGCCACCTGTGGCCTGCCCACTGCCCAGCCCCCACCTGGACAGCGGTCCGCTCCCGCATGGGCCGTAGGTTGCGGCCCCGGAGATCGGTCACCACGAAGGGCAAGGAGATCTTGTCATCCTCGAACTCTGGGGAGGCAGGAAGTGGGGTTAAGGGTGCTGGGACACCTGAGGGTCCTCCCCAGCCCGCACCTCGGTGGGTGGCCCCGGGCTCACCGTCCTCGGGCTCGGCACCTTCTCCGGACTCCAGCACGTAGTACAGCTTGGTGTAGTTGACGTAGCCGGGCTCGGGGGCGGGGGCCTCCGCGGCTGGGGGGCTGTCCCTAGGCACTGCCTCCCCACTTGGGACTGGGGTATCAGAGGCTGGGCGGCAGCGGCTGGCGGAGGGCCCTGGGCAGGGGGGCGGCCGGGTTTCCTCAGAGGTCCCCCCCTTGGCCTCTTTGGCCCTGCGGAAGATGTCAGCTACAAACTCCTTGGCTTTGGCGATGGCAGGCGAGGGCTCAGGGGCCCCGGAGGGCCGGGTCGGGGCCGTCTCCGGACTGAGGCTGGGGAGGGCGGGGGACACCTCTGGGCTCCGGGGCCCAGGGTGGGTGGGCGGGGCCAGGGGGGAGGCGGTGTGATCATACAGGATCTGGCAGAAGTTGCTGTCGCCTGCAAGGAGAGGGAGGGAGGTGGGGGGTCAGGACACTCCTAACCTGACCCTGAGGGCTTTTCAGAAACGCACCTCAGGGAGCCCCTCCTGAACCAGCTCATGCCAAGGGTCTGAAGCACCAGGGAGCGTCAGCTGCGCAGCAGGTGGCCTCCTTCAGACCCTGCCCTCCCCGCTCCCCTGCATCGTGCCAAGAGGCCACAAGTGACCAAGACTCACAGAGCCCTGTCCTTGGGAGACCAGAGTCCACAGTGAGGATGGACAAAAGCCACACAATAAAGTCAGCTCCCTAGAAAGAGGGGTGCAGGCACAGACTGGCCCCTCCAGGCCTCTGTGGCCACCGGTCCAGAGCCAGGCTCCCGAGGAGTGGGGTGCCCAGCGAGCATGCCAGCCCACCCCCCACAGCGCCATGGCGGGGCCTGCACAGGGCCTCCTGGGAACCCCCAGAGCCACCTGGGAGAGGGGGCCGTGTCCCCAGAGGGAGGCTCCGAGAGGAGCGTGTCCCAGTCCACACAGTGAGACAACCCAGGTGAGTCCTGTCCACCACAGCCTGGCACGTTGGGGCCATGGGGAGTGAAAGCTGGAAACTGCTGAGCAAAGAGTGCCCGGGAGCAGGCTTCCCGTGAGTGTGGCACTCGTGAGTGGCCCTGCCCTGGGCTGGGCAGAGATCAGGAACCACAGCCATGAGGGCAGAGCCCCCCCCCCAGGGCTCACGGCCAACGGCTGGGCCTCACCCACGATGGCTGGGAGATCCCTGGGTGCTTGGGCTCGAGTGCCCCTTCCTGGCGGTGGACTTAGTCACCACATCTGATCCTGCCTCCCCTGCCCCCAGAACCACCATTCTAATGGGGATTTACAATGGGTGTGAGTGTAGTTGACTGAGTTCTTCCAAAATTAAGACGTATTTTTGGTTGACACCAGGTGGTCAGGGTCAGGCTTCTGCCTCGACCCATGGCCCTGACGTGCTCTGCGGATGGACACGGGGCGCCCATGGTGCCCCTCAGGATGCCCCACACACGCTGGTGAGCATCTCCCAGAGGAAGTGACCTGGGCATGGAGCAGAGCAGCTGGGTCAGTCTATTGCCACAAGGCCCCCAGGACGCCACTGCCAGCCAGTGGCTTCCTCCCACTTCACCAGTGTCACTCTATCAGAGGACATGTTCAGACTTTTCACTGCGATTTCTCTGCTACCCAGAGGTAAGATGACTGTCCACCAACCAACCACTCCCTGACAGTCATGTGGGGTGCCTGGTCAGTGGACCACTAACACACGCCACACAGCGCAGAGCCTGGGTGTGCGGCCACCACACCCCCCGGGTTTGTTGAGCGGCTACTATAACGTCCACGTGGCATGAAATCGCCCTACAGCGCACTGCCCAGAATGTACCCCGTCAAGTGATGGGTCACTGTATTTTGTCCACATCTTTTTTAGCAGTGCTGGGAGTGGACCCAGTGCCCTGTATGGCGAGACAGTGCTGAATGACACCCCGAGCCCCCAGCACTGCCCACACCGTAGCTGCCAGACAGATCTGGCTGCTGAAATGTAAAATAGCAAAAATTAAATAAAACTAGAATATCAGGGGCTGGGGTTGTGGTTCAGAGCTAGAGCACTTGCCCAGCACACAGAGGCCCTGGGTTCCGTCCTCAGCACCATAAAAATAACTAAATAAAATAAAGGCATTAAAAAAATAATAAAAATTTTTTTAAAAACCCTCAGTTTCAAAAGTTACTGGAGATGACCACAGTGGACAACATAGCCACAGTACATCCTAGCCCTACAGAAAATTCTAGTGAACAGTGCTGGGGGAGGATGGGCTTGGATCTGAGCCTTCCTGCTTCCTGGTGGTGACCTCACAGGAAATACGTCACTTCTCTGAACCCCGGTCTCCTCATTGCACCCTGGGGTAGGAATGAGACCAGCCTCGGGTGCTGCTGGGCAGAGTGAGCAGAAATCATCCCAGGGCCTGGGCGTGCCCATCGCTAGACTCCCAGGACCTACCTGCAGAGTGGACGGAGACGGCACAGGCCACCAGGGAGTAGCTGGTGTTGAGCAGCACCACCTGGTCCTTCTTGAGCTGGAAGGCGGGCTGGAAGGTGGGGAAGGGGTAGACCACCTGGTACTTGGTGTGCAGCATGAAGCCGTGCCGCAGGCACTGCGCGCTCGGGTCACCTGCAGTGACACAGGCCTGGCAGGTCACTAGAGGCCCGGGAGCTGGGAGGGCGACCTGACAGACCCCGGGACCCCCTGCCCCACCTGGGTGGGCCCGGCTGGCATCCTGGCAGGCAGCGCAGCGGCCCCGCGGAGGCACAGCCACGGTGCTGATGTAGATGTCGCGGTGGTTCTCGTCGCTCATCATCATCATGTTCATGAGCATGCCGTTGGCAGAGCGCGTGCTGGGGACCAACACCCACTCAGCCCCGGCCAAGGCCTCCCCCACCGCGGCCTCCCCAGTCCTCCCTGAATCTCACTTGAAGCCAAAGACGATGACCTTGGAGGCGTCACTGGGCCACTCGCACACAGTTAGGTACAAGTCGCTGTAGATCTCCTCATCCTGGAAGAGTCGCACCTGCCGGACCTGAGTGGCATGTTCAGGATCAGAGGGGGACACAAGGGGCCTGGGCCAGGGTCACGCACTGCTGGGCTAAAATGAGGGTCCGGGATGAGCTGGCAGGAGTTCCCAAACAGCCCTGGCCTGTGTCCCCCAGGCTTCCCTGAGGACAGCCTGGGACATCTTCCTGTCCACTTTGGGGCAAACAGGGAGGCCAGGCCCAGGGCAGAACGCAGCCAACAGGAGGCCTCCCTGGTGAAGACCCGGCTAGACACACTGGTTCCAAGTCCCAGTCCCCTGGGTGAAGCTCACATGCCAACGGAGGCAGAGGCACCCACCTGGGGCGGGAGAGTCAAGCCACATAACACCCTGTGCGGTCCTAGTAAGCTACCTCCTCCTACCTGGGTGGCTTTACATGCTGAGCCGAGCGCAGTGACCTGCCACCACCCACCCAACTCCGAACACAGCAACTTCACAGGGTTCGAGCTGACACACGGCAGTTTCACACACAAGGGCTCTGAGGCTCGGAGGGCGCGTGACCTGCCCAGGTCATGCTCCTTGAAGGGCCAGCCTGCTGCTGGAGCCTGGCGGAGGGGCCCGGCCCTACCAGCTTGAGCTTGCTGTGGACGTTGAACTCCCACCAGTACAGGTGATAGATGTAGAAGGAGAAGTCGTCGTCCCCGCTGCTGCTGGTGTACGAGAGGACATAGCGGCCACACTTGGAAAAGCCCAAGAAAATGTGCCTGTGGAGGCAGAGGGGACGTGGCGGCCAGGTCAGGGAGCGCCCACTTCCCCTGCCCCGCTGCCTGGCTGCCTCCCGGTCCAGCCCCAGTCTCACCCTGCGTAGAGAAAATCCTCATCCACAATGTTCTTGAGGGACACACAGACCCTGGGTGGCAGCTTCCGGAAAAGGCGAGGGGAGAGCTGCCCACTGATCTGGGGAAGGGACAGCCAGAGCTCTTCAGCCACCATCCTCTTGTAGCCCCCCAGCCCCCCCATCAAGGCACAGACGCAAAGCAGCATCTGCAGGGGCCATCCCAGTCCACCCAGCCACACTCCCCATCCCCTGTAACAGTCAAGGGTGGCCAAGCTCTGGAAGGTGGGGACAGAAAGGAGACACTGAGACCAGGTAGATTTCACCTGCACCTCTCTCTTCACCACAGACCTAGGCACCTCCCGGCCTCAAGGTCCTTCCTGCCCAAATCCAGTATCACTTCCCGAAGGAAGTTCCTCCAGTCACCCTGGCCCACACTGGGCCACCTGGCTCCCTTCCTGAAAGCTGCCCAGGGGACACACAGGGTTGAAGCCAACACAGTGCAGTTTCACATGCAAGGGTTCTGGGGCTCAGAGAGGTATGCCAGGTCATGCTGTGTGAAGGGCCATCCTGGTGCTAGAGCCTTGGTGAAGGAGGGTATATCCTCTACCAAGGAGGCTGGGATGAGGGCCATGCCCTCACCTGTCCCCAACCCACCAGCTTATGAAGGGATCTCTCAGGACAGTCCTAGCCTATGTTGGGACCCAATAGCGCACCTGGAAGGGTAAGTCTAACGGAGAACACAATCACTGCCTAATGTCCCCTTCTCAATCAACACTTCCCACCAACACCTGCATCCTAAAAACATCACCACGGAGGGAACTTGACAGGACTGACGGCCACCAGTTGGCCAATGGGGGAATCCGAGCACCCTCAGTCTTGCCACCCAGGGGGATGCGGGGAGACACAGCCTCACTTTCAAAAGATTCTGATCTGATGGGAGACAGCTCTATCTGCAGAGCTCCCCGATGGCCCTCAAGGAGATCTCAGTCTGATGGAGGCCAAGACTGATAGGAAAGGCACCATCCCTGCCCAGGGAGCTTCCAGGCTCAGGGTGGAGCCACAGCCCTGCCCAGGGAGCTCCCAGGCTGAAGGCGGAGATTGTCCCTGCTCAAAGCGCTCCCAGTCAAAAGGGGGAGACACAGCCCTGCCCTCACAAGGCTCGCAGCTTCATGGAGGTTGCAGTCCCCGTCCAAGCAGACAGTTTTGTCCCAGTTGCTGTCCACCTGACAGGAGATTCACATTTCTGCGCTCCCAGAACGCCCAACCTGAGGGGGTAATACGCCAAAGCCCTGGGAGCTCCCAGCCTGATGGGGCACAGAGTCGCGATCAAGGAGCTCCCTCTCAGCCGTCAGGGACCTGGCCCTATCCTGAAGCTCCGTCCCATTCAATGTGGGAGGCCCACCCAGGTACCGAAACTCCCAGCTCAGGGATGGTCAGAGCTGGGCAGAGGAACACCAGGAGGAGGGCGCCCAAAGCCGGTGGCAGGGCTCTGCCAAGGGGGCGGGAAAGCTCCTCTACGGAGTGGCCAGGGGAGCAAGGCTTCGGAGGTGGGTCTAAGCCTGGACTATCCCCTTCCTCTGGACTCCTCCCGAGGCCTCTAGGGTGCCCTCGCTTCAAGCCCCCTCCCCAAGGATCGCCTCTAGCCCCCTCCATCCAAGACCCAGTGCAGTGATCCGCCCCAGCCGCCTCCGTCGGAACCCCCACCGCAGCCCCCTCCATCCAAGACCCGGCGCCCCGCCCCCCCTCCCCCAAGACCCCTCCCCGGGGCCCCGCCCCCAACCCCTCACCCCGCGAACGCCCTCCCTCCTTCCCTCCGCCTTCCTCCACACCCTCCGGCGCACTCCTCAGGTTCCAGGCCTCACCTTCACCCGCTCCAACTGCTTGAGGACGTGCTCCCGCCGCCGCCCCGCTGCCCGCTTTCCTCCGGCTCCCCCGGGGCCGCCGCCGCCGCTCCCGGCCCCGCTGTTCCGCTCCGATTTCGAGCTGGGCGCCATTTTCACCCCCTCCCTCCACTTCCGGAGCAACCGGCCCCTTCGCCCCACCCCCGCCGCCTCCTCATTGGCCCTCTCTCCGGACAGCAGCCCGCCGGTTGGGTGAAAGCCCGCATTCAGGGCCTCTTCCCGCTATGCCTGTCCATCAAAGTCGTCTCGGCTCATGATTGGTAGGTGTGATAACAGCCCCCGCTACCCGTCGCCTTTTTCCCGCCCTCCCTCAAGGATGAGCCAATAATAGGTCTGCTCTGTTCTCCTCCCCCAGAAAACTTTAACCCGATAGGTGAAAATTTCTGTCCGTTTCGGCATCGTCACGCCCCCTGTGGCTGATGGGTTTCCATGGAGACCGCAGGCGGTCCAGGTCTGTAGGCCGAGCGAAGGGAAACTGGTTCTGAAGGGCCAGAATCCCCGGCTCAGGTCTGTGCTGCTCCCGCAGTTCGCAGTTCGGGTGGGTAGAGACTGACCAGCATCCCCGAGCGGCTAAGCAAGCTCTAGGGAAGGGTTTAAAAAAAAAGATGGCATTCCATTAAAGCACCTTTTAGATGAGCGGGCTGGTGGGATGATGATGATGATGATGATGATGATGATGGTAATGATACATAGCATCAATCAAGTTTTACAAGGGCCAGACATGGTTCTGAGTTCATAAGGATTCTGTGAGGTAGCCCTCTTTTATGCCTATTATACTGATGATGGTAAAAATATTTTTTGTCTGCTTCATGCATCATCTTCTTGTGAATTAGCTCATTTAATCTTTGCAACAGTCTTGGAAATAGATCCCTTATCTTTATTTTACACATGAAACTGAAGCTTAAAGTGTAACTCTCCCGAATACCAGGCACATATATAGATGCCAGCTGTTATTACAGTTAGAGAGGAAGCAAATGGATCGCTCTCCCTTTTCTTCCAGTCTAGCCCATTCATTTATTCAATAAGTATTTATTGAGCATGTACAATATGCTAAGAAGCTGGGAATATAATGAGAAAGACAGATGATAAACAAGGAAATAAATATTTGTTATTGAATTCCAGGTAGGTGAGAAAGAGCAGAGGGAAGTGGGATATTTGGAAAGGGCAGTTGGAAAGGAGCCCTGTGAAGTTGAGGATGAATATTTAAGCAAAGACAGTTTGGGGGGAGGGGTAAAGGTGATGTGATTGAGAGACCACAGTGAAACCACAGTAGTGCCACTTAACCACAGGGACCAGATCTGAGAAATTTGTCATTAGGTGATTTCATCTTTGTGCAAAGGCCATAGAGTGTACTTATAACCTAAGTTCTCAGTATAATCTTTTGGAACCACTATGAGATGTACAGGTCCGTCTTTGGTTGAATTGTTAGGTGCTTCATGGTTTTACTTGGGTCAGGGCAAGAATGAGCAAGGAGGCTGCAGGTGTTGCTCAGAGGTCGAGGGCATGCTCAGCATGAGAGGCCCTGGGGTTTCCATCCCCAACACCAGAAGAAGCAGAAAGTCTTAAAAATATAAAGAAAGAAAGCAAGATCTGGGCACAGTGACACAAGCCTGTATGTGGGGAGCCACATTGAGTGACCACGCCTTCCAGTCCTGATGCACCACGGGGATCTGAAAGATCACTGTAGTCTGGCGTGGTAGTGCCATGACTCGTGACTCGGTCTCCCCCCTCCTGCCCCCGCTCGGATAGCAAGGCCAGTCTTCTGAGTAGGCACACCCCTGGGGTTGAGCTATACTCACCTGTTCTTTTATAATCTTACCCCTTAGCCCTCTTTGGGATAGAATGTTCCATGGAAATGCCCTTTGTGTGTCCCCTTCTCTTGCTCTGCCTTTGGGTGTGGCCTTCTTAGATGTCAGTCAACCTGCCTACGGCAGATATCACGAAGCTAGACTCAATCCCCCCGAAACCTGACCCCTTGCCTCATTTGAATGGCTTCTCCCCAATAAAAGGGTTCAGCACGTTCTCTCTCTCTCTCTCTCTCTCTCTCTCTCTCTCTCTCTCTCTCTCTCTCTCTCTCCACGGACCCCTGAAGTCAGAGGAGCCATCACAAGACCCAAAGAAAAAGGGATCTTTGTCTCTTGTGTGGTTATTTCGCACAGCCCAGTTCATCTGGAGTGACCCTGAGTGTTTTAGTTGTGGAATGCGACACCTGTAATCCCAGCTACTCAGGAAACTGATGCAGAAGGATCACAAGTTTGAGGCCAGCCTGGATAATTTAGTGGGATGCTGTCTCCCAACAAAATAAAAAGGGTTGCGTATGGATATAGCTCAGGGTGGCACATGTAGCTAGCAATGTGCAAGGCCCTGGGTTAAGTCTCCAGTACTAGGGGGAAAATAGATGAAGCGCTAGAGCCAGGGAGTTTAGGTGGCTTGTAGGCATGTAAGGCCTTTAGATTTTCCTCTTGAGCATAAAGGGAAGCCTCTTGGAAGGTTTAGTGGAAGATGATGAAAACCGATATGAGATTGAAAAGATCATTGTGGTCCAAGAACTTAAAATAAATACCCATGAGTTTATACTGATATAAATACTTTTTTTTTTTTTTTTGCGGTGCTGGAGATTGAATCCAGGGCCTTGTGCATGAGAGGCAAGCACGCTACTAGCTGAGCTATGTCCCCAGCCCCCTGATAAAAATACTTGATTGAATAAATAAATAGAAGGAGGAAGGGCCAATTATTTTTAACTTTTTTTTAAATACTTTTATTTTATTTATTTATTTTTATGTGGTGCTGAAGATTGAACCCAGGGCCTCACACGTGCTAGGTGAGCGCTCTGCCACTGAGCCACAACTTCAGCCCCAGGACCAATCTTAAAGAAGATGTGCAGTTAGTAAATTGACACGGAATGAGGAAAATAGAGAATCATTATTACAGCTTGGCACAGTGTGCGCACCTGTATTCCCAGTGACTCCAGCAGTTTGGGGCCAGCCTGTGTGACACAGCAAGACTCTGTCTCAAAAAATTTAAAAAAGAGGGTTGGGGCTGGGGCTGGGGCTCAGCAGCAGAGCACTTGCCTAGCATGCGTGAGGCCCTGGGTCCGATCCTCAGCATCACATAAAAATAAACAAATAAAATAAAGGCATTCTGTCCATCTACAACTACAATTTTTTTTAATTGAAAAATGAAAGAAAGGAAGAGAGGGAGGAAGGGGGAAAAGGAAATGAAAGAAAATCATCATTAGATAAACACTACAGTAATAATTTTAGCAGGCAAGACCCAGTCACGTGGGGCCGAGGTTGTGGCTCAGCGGTAGAGTGCTTGCCCAGCATGCATGATGCACTGGATTCGATCCCTGGAACCACACAAAAATAAAATAAAGGTATTGTGTCCATCTACAACTAAAAAGACATTTAAAAAAAGACCCAGTCATAGGTGCAAAAAATTAGCAGATGAAACTTTAAGGAAAAACAGCACTTTGCCTACCCTCTCATAGTACCTCTTTCAAAATATTAATTAACATATGTCCACCAATCCTTTTTTTTTCTGTGTGTGTGCGTGTGTGTGTGTGTGTGTGTGTGTGGTGCTGAGGATTGAACCCAGGGCCTGTGTACATGCAAGGCAAGCACTCTACCAACTGAGCTATGTCCCCAGCCCCCACCAATTTTTTATGAGTTCTCAGTTTGTCCCCTTGTGTATAGACTGGATTTAGTCACCTGCTTCTGAGGAATAACACGTAGAAGGGGGGAAAGTAGCTGGATCGTGGGGAAGCCTGGCAGACGCACCTTAATCAAGTGGTCAAGGTCAAAATCAACAGTGTCATGTTGGTGTCATGGACTCCCGATAACATCACATGAAGGGGACTTTCTTTTCTCTTCTTTCCTTCTCTTTCTTCCTCTCCTTCCCCCATTTCTTTGTCTTTTTGGAGAGACAAGGTCTCTCTATGTTGCTCAGGCTGTCCCCAAACCCTGGGCTCAAGTGATCCCCCTACCTCGGCCTCTCAAGTCACTGGAACTGTGTAGGCAGGCACCACTGTGCCAGCCTAGGAGGACATTCTACCCGTCTGATAGTGTCTCCAAAATCTATAACATCAATGCAACCATGAGAAAACATCAGATGTTCGTCCCAAATTGAGGAACATTCTATAAAATACACAAGCAGTAACTTCCAAGGCGTGAAGGGCATAAGAAATTTTTAAAAAGAGCTAGAAACCATCACCAAATGAAGGACACTAAGGACATGTGATGACTGCATGGTGTTCTGCATGGAATCCTAGACCAGAAAAAAAGGCCGTCAGAGGGAAATTTGGTGACATTCAGGTTAAGCCTGTAGTTTAGTGAATAGGGTTACACCAACACTTGTTCATCTCTTCGTTGTCACGAATGTGCCATGGTCATGCTGTATGTTCACAAGTGGAGAGATTGGGTCGCTGTGTGGGCAGCTTGGCATGACCACAGCCAGCTTGAGCTGTAGCCGCCATGATGCCCCAGAGTAACCCAACGTGGTGTTTCCTGCAGAGTTTCCCGGGAAATTCCAACAGACCAAGCCATCAGTGTGGTGTGTGCAGCTGTACAGCTGGACCTGGCTCCAGGGACACCCTGGACTCTTTAATATCAGCCTAAGATAAGCCAGGCTCACGCCAGCCAGGAGGAAGTCACTTTCATCCTAGCCCATAAACATGCCCCTCTTCCTTTCAGGGAGCCAACGGGTCTTGCTCCCCGACACTTCTGTCAGGTCGTGCTCAGCAAAAGGCACTCTGCCGTCCTGGTTCTGTCTGCTCCCTTCCCTGGTCTCATAGCCCCTTGGGGCAGGTCCTCATGCACTAAGACTGGGCTGTTCTGGAACAGCAAAGAGTTTACCAGAATTCTGCTCTGGCTTTGCAAATATTCTCTACATCGAAAATGATTTCAAAATAAACAGCTTTCAAGAGTGGCAGAGATCTGGGCAGAGTGGCACAAACCGGTAATCGCAGCGACGCAGGAGGCTGAAGCAGGAGGATCACAAGTTTAAGGCCAGCCTGGTAACTTAGTAAGACCCTGTCTCAAAAAAAAAAAAAAAAGTCAGGTGGCACTGGAGATGTATACAGGGGTCAAGTGCTTGCTTGGCCTGGGGGAGACC